AAGATTTGAGACAGATGATAGAAATGTTTAACCTCTCGATGGCTATAATATGTGTATTACTTTTATTTTTCCCTAATAAGGAAAACAATTCAGAAATTCTCATAATGTCCCCCAAAAAGGGTTACTTTTTCCAGTTTATAATAAAAAATGGTGTCATATACATTTATGGATGGTGAGTGATTATATTTACTTGGATTTGGGTCATGACTTTATTTAATGGTAACTACAGTGGCCATCAAAACGGCTCCATATGCCACAGCTCCCGTGAAGTTCAGCTCACTCAACAGATACAGATAGTATTCAATTCCATGGATCAGAATCAAAATGGTACCAAAATATCCATCTGCTGCATTGAGTGCTTCTCTGTGGTACAGTCATATAGGCCTTCAACAGGAGGCAGATCCTTATTATTGTGATTAATAGTAATAGTTGAAAACTTATTTTCCTTGGTATCACACTTTATTTCTTTGCATTCAATTGAGCAGATGAGATGGCTTAGCAACAGTAATAAAACTAGTACAATCACTGTCTAGCCTATTTTTTTAGCATTGTGCAGTATATTACTAATTGATTTGTTTCTTCTTGGAGGGTACTGCAATATACTTAAAATGAAACCCAGTGTTTAATGGACATTTCCTTACTCAGCTGTCTATAACCAATCACTGTTTTGATGTTTGTGGGTTCTTTGTACAATTTAGATGTGAATGAGTATTAAACTAGTTTTCCAGTGTATGGTATAAGTAGGACGAGATAAAGCAGTTCTTTTTTTTCTTTCCTAAATGAGTTTTAATACAATAGTTTTGGTCTAATTTTTGTTGGGTTGTTTTTTTTTTCCCCCCAAGAGAAAAGAACCAGAGTTCCTCCTTCCCCCATCCCCAATCCAGGCTCCTCCTTGGGGGGGCATTTGATCTTCCTGTAGCTCCACAGAGCCTCAGGGACCAATGTAGACTCTCATCTAGGGGGAAACAAGGACCCTTGTGCTCTCAGACTGGCAGCTCAGCATCAAGCCCACCGCACCGCTATTCTAACTATGACCTTGATCTTCTAACCAAAAACCAAGCTTTTGCCTTATAGCTTCATGACCCAATCCCTCTCTCTTATATCTCTGCTTCCTGGCCTTGTAAACATCCCAGTTACTAGATTTTCCTTTTGACACTTCCTGGCTCCCCATGGCCTCTCTGCAGACAAGAGTCCTAATGCTGAGCACCTGTTTTCCCTGGCTTATGCCCATGACCCCCTAAAGCCTGCTCTTTGCTAGGCTGTGATACTATAGGGCCACAGTTCTGAGGCTGTGGTCCACCACCATGCTATCCTGACCAGACTCTACCTGTCCCCTCATGGTGGCCTGCCTACTCTCTAGGCCTGAGAAAACTTGGTATGGTCTGTCCTAGATTTAAGTGAGCCCAAGGCTTATGGATTTAAAAGGAAAAAAACAAAAAAACAAAACCAGACTCTCAAACAAGTTCTGTAAGGATTTCCTGGTGCGTCTAACACCTCTTCAGGTCTTGAACTGGAACTCAGATGATCTGTGCCTAATTCCAAGCTTGACTGATTATTCTATCTGCCTTCACTTAGAACAGATCTCATGCCTGGATATTTTGCCTGATGTTCTGCCAGACTCTTCCTGCTCCCAGGGTACCATTCCAGATGCCTCCTCTGGGGCCCTCCTAGGCCCATGGCTGTTAATACCACCATACTCAGAGCAGCAGTAATTTCCAATTACATCCATGACCCACCTCTCAAGCAAGGATCTGGAAATTATTATTGCCTGCTGCCAGCAAGCCTTAACCCAATGCTCAGCTGAGGGGGGGCCAACGCTGTGTTAAACACTTAGAGGGACACCGGAAATAAAGCAGAATTACATTGTCCCTGTCCCTTTGCACAAAGCCACAAGAACCCACAGTTCTGGTAACCTTATCTCAAAAAACAGATTCGAGCATTAAAATCTTAGGAAGGACACAGGATCAGGAACTCATGTAAGGACAATCGGAAAAGGCTAGAAGTCTTGAGGACAAGAAGATGGGAAGGGCTTGATCACCACCAAAGGATCTATGGACATAGAAGGAAGAGCCCCCAATTTCTAGTTCCTTCTCTAAAGCTGATTTACTCAGAAAAATCTCCCATTTCTAGAATGTTCTTTCTCCTTTTCAGCAATGAAGTAGGTGGACCTAGTTCACAAATCTGGTTGCTTCTCCTGAAAAAGCTTTTACAAAATGCAAGTAATGTCCTTCCCCAATCATTACTCAACCTAGTATCTACTAATTGGAATCTCCAGAGCTCTGAAATTCATACTTTTAAATGTCCTTAGGTGGTCTGGGACCACTGAATTCAGTGATCTCCAGGGTCCCATCTTGCTGTGACATTCTATGGTGTCAGATTCCAGACAGAATGAGCAAAGGGAACCAACAGAACAAAGTTTGAGCAAGACAAGCCCACACACATAAGAAGCAGGAGAGCCCTTGGACAATGGGCAATGAACTCAGAAACCCCATTCCCCCTAAGAGGTAAAGCTGGTGGGAAACAGAAATTGATTCCAAGCAACTTCAAGCAGATTTATGAGGGTTGGGGCCATCTGAGGGAGCAGGGAGGACCACCATGCCTCGAAGGCTGCTGAAAGCAAGAGAATTCTAGCTGTATAAATCATGGGTCTGACCTGGGATGGCAAATCTGTTCCCATGGAATCCACTCTGGAAAGAATTTTCTCTCTGGACCTTTCCATCAGAAATCACTGAAAATAAAAACAAAATGTTGTGTATAGAAACCACCTGAGACTAATATATGTCCACTGAGTTGGGAAAATACTGGTCCCTTTATTGAGAAAGAGCCATAATGTCCCCTTTTTAAGGAACAGCGAACATAAATCTTGAGATTGGGTGTCTCTGCTTCCAACAGTTAGAAATTGAACAGGAAGTTACACAACTTTGAACTGTGTTCATCATGCATCTCTAATGCAAAATATTCTTCTATGCACTTTGCTTAGGTCATCATTCAGTAGTCTCACTAAGTCCAATCTTGCTTCATTCAGATTAGGAGACTGAGGCTCAGAGGGGTGTATGATTTACCCCAGGTATCATAGCTGGTCAGGGGCAAAATCCAGGATAGGAAAAGTTAGCCCATCTGGATCCAAAGACCGTGCTTCTCTTCCTACCTCACCAAATGTCCTACCTGGTCAAGAACTACAATCCCAGCCTCTCTGGGAATGTCCCACAACATTTAGAGCAATGTTAACCCAGACTGAAGTTGAAAGTGGGTCCCATGGAAGGGAAAATGCTCAGGTAGTGTGCCATGCCCATACCTTCAGCTCTCTTCCTCAGCGCACTCTTGAGGAAAAAGGAAAGAAAGAAATCACTCATGTACATGCTTTCATTTCCAGGACTGAGTTAACTGCATGGATTGTCATGCCTCTGCCCTAGACTGAGAAGCCTGCCCACAAATCCAGGCTGCTTGCTTTAGGCACACATTGGATCTGAGAATAGCCTTCAAAGAGTTGGAGATCATATGGAGCAAGTGGATTTTTCTACTTCCTTTCCAGGATTATCTTTTTCTCTCTGTCCCCATTCTCATCCCCAGTTTAAATCCCTAGGTGCTGCTGGTAGAGGATCCATGTTGACAGAAAGTCCTCTGGTCACATTTCCTGTTGTCAAGAACAGCACCTGCCCTGGGTGTAGGCAGGAGTCATGGACACAACTCATATTTTTAGAGTTCTGGACTTTACAAAGCCTGTTATATCTCTTGCTTCCTTTAATCCTCATGCCAATTCAGCTACTTTTATAGACTAAGGAGCTCTATCAAGGTCCCACAACCAGTAACTGATAAGGCTGCCCCTAAATCTGTGTCCCTTTCCATTCACCACTTGAGGACAGCCCACACGTAGGATTTGGGTGCTGGAGATATGGATGAAAAGGCAACTGGCCAAGAGAGTGCTGCTAAAATGCACTCAGTATTCAAAGAGTTAGCTCTTTGAAGTAACAGGTTACTCCTTTAGAGTATAGAAAGATCATAAAATTGACAATCAACCATTCACAACCAACATGAATGGATTCATCTCCTTCTTGCCCTTGAAACAACCTTCAGAAACCAAACAGAGATCAACATCTTCATTTCAAAAAAGTGAAGCCAACTGAGAAAGGATTTGAATACACAGTGTTGTATAGCTGTATGCCTTGGAATCTCAGCTAGAACTCTGGTCTCTGACCTTGGGGTCAGGGCAGTGTCACAAAAGCCCCCCAACACACTTGTCAAGTTTCCAGATCATCAAAACTACCCAGTACAGTCTCAATCTGATTGCTTGTAATTTTAGCAGCCCAAATTAAGCTTTCATTTCCACATCATTAAATTAGTTAAAAGTCTTCAAAGATTTTTCACTTCAACGTTTTAGTGAGCAAAACTGTACCAAATTAATTTTTTCATAATGTTTTCTAAAGGTAGAATTTAACTTCATCACATTAGAGGGAAACTGGAGTCTATGTCCAATTTACTCTTTTGAGCTTCCCCAAGCTAAGAGGATCTTATATGCATATGTCCAGCCTTTGGGAGCAGGTTCAATGCAGTCACATTGCATTATGTCACAGTAGCATAGATTGAGCACCTGTTGGTTGCCCAGCATTGGGCCAGACTCGGTGAGAAACGACGAGAGGGTCCAGCCACTGCCCACGCATGTCTTACCTGAAGGGGGGTCTTCTCTTCTTCCTGATAACCGAGGGGATTTTTTCTTTACCATCCTGTGTTTTAGATAGTTCCATCCAACCTTCTTAAGGCTGGGTCAGTCAGCTCCATCTATGTCTCTCCCCTCATATCTGACCAGGCCCTGGCACAGAGTAGATCCTCAACAGACATTTCCAGTTTGAATGGCTGATTGGTGTTTCTTGCCCTGGCCTTGGTGCCATACTGGAACATGGGTTTGGGGCCATGGAGCGGACAGCTCAGAGGCAGCCCAGGGAGGCCTCTGGAGGAGGGAGGGCCAGGCCAAGTGAGTGATTACCTTTCCTCTTGTGTCGCAGTTCACTGGCTGTTCACCACGTGCGGGGCCAGTGGGCCCCACGGCCCCACACAGGCCCAGTGTAACAACGCCTACCGGAATTCCAACCTGAGCGTGGTGGTGGGGAGCGAGGGTCCCCTTAAAGGCATCCAGACCTGGAAGGTGCCAGCCACCGACACCTACAGGTACGTATGGGGGAGGGGGAGGCCAAGGGACAGATCTCCCCTTCTGAAGATGATGGGGTGCTGCCTGTGGGTGCATGCCCTCAGGGTGCCTGGGCACACCGAGGCTCAGAGACCACGGACTTTGGCCCAGAGTGGGGTATAAGGGCTGGAGATGGGGAGATTTGGGATAATGGGATATGGCAATAAAGATGTGTCCTCTGTCCTCAAGGAGCCCACAGTCTGTTTGTGGAGATGATATACACGTGTGAGCTAGCTTCAGAATATTCTTTATTACTAATAATTATAATTATAGTGGATTCTTTGAGTATTGCTTGATGCTGTTCGCATGAGTCAGCACATGTGAAATGTTTGGGAAACAGACGTACGATGGACATGAAAGATGATGCTCTCACCCTTGAGCCTCCTTTCCTGGGCCTTCACTATTCACAAATAAAGCAGCTGTTCTCAGGCTCTTGTCCCGCCCCCAACCCCAACTACACAGTATTCCAACAGAGCAAGACCAGGCCAGAGGGAGGCCTGACTCAATGGGCCACTTAGCTCGTACATGAAGCTGATGGCAAGGCTCAGACCAGTGGTTCTCCACCATCGAAATGACTGGACATCTGGTTAATACAGATTACCGGTCTCACTCGCAGAGGTCTCATTTCATAGGCCTGGAAAGGGGCTCAAGGATATGAATATTAAGAAAATTTTAATGCTATCCATTTTTATATGAATGAAGCAAATATGACAAAATATTGACATTTATTGGATCCGGGTTGGGAAGGGAGACATAAGGGGTATTCATCACGCTGGTTGTATTCATTCATTGAGAATATGAATTCCTAACAGGTTCCCAGGTGATGCTAATACGGCCCCAAAGAGTGACTGAATTAGGTTGAACCCCTGCGTGTAGTCCTCCCACAGCTCTGTGAACAAGGCCCGGGCTGCAGTCTTCATTTTACACAAGAGGAAACTGAGGCTCAGAGAATGGGGTGCCTCGCCACAGACACACAGACACGCAGGCCGGATAAAACCTGAAGCACAGGCTTGCTGAGGCTCCTCCCACAACGAACGGCGAACAGCAGGCTTAAACAGGAAGCAGCTTAATCATGACCTTGTGGTGCAAATGCGCCCCCCCCACCCCCCGCGGCTGAACGCAGTGGGATATGAGCTCTCTTTCCCCTTCCTCAGCCCCCAACCTCCAGAAGGAAAGGAGAGTCTCAGGTTGCCTGGTTTTCTCTGTAGCCCCACCCCTGGGACCTCGGTATAAATGCATTTCGGCGGGGGGAGCCCTAAGTGCTTTTTAAATGACATTCTGGGCAGGAATGCAGTAACAAGGTTTGGCTGCAATCAAATTAGCTGCTCTAGGTCCTACACTTCCCCCAACAAATGATTGCAGACACCCAGCCACCCCTGGATCTGCCACACTGAGCAGGCCGGGTCTCTCCTTCCTGCCTGGCTGAGGTTCCCCGGCTCAGTCACTGTCCCAGAGAGACAGAGAGGAGTGTTCGCTGAGGACTCACCAAGTATTTCTCCCCCTTTTAGCAATGAGGCAGATGTCATTACTATGATTATTGCTATTCCCTTGTTTCCATAGGGGGAAACTGGAGTCAGCAGCTTAGCAACAGACCAAAGGCCACATAACTAGTAAACCCAGGGTCCTCTGGCCCAAAGGTTGTGTGTTCTTTCCACAAAAGCCCACATCTGGACTCTGAGAGGCATTCAGGGGACAGGAGGGAAAGTAAGCCTAGCAGTCATGCACCACCCACCTCCAGGAAGCCTCTGGAAACGAAAGCCTGGGAGGGGAGGCCCCACCACCTGCAGGGATGCTGGCCTGCCCAGCCCTGGGGGCAGAACCCCACGTGTAAGAAGCAGTGTGAAGAAGAGAGCAGAGGAGCTGGGAGGCAGACAGACACCTCAACAGTGAAGGCCCAGCAAGACCCATTGTCCCATCCCCATCCAGGGCGACTCCCAAGCCAGACGGGCTGTAAGTCCCTTCCTGCCCCGACCACAAAGATCCACAAATAGGAGGCACCATGAGCAGGGTTCCTTTTGGGCTGCATTCCCCTTGAGACTGTGAATCAGACCCACTTTCAGACTCGAGCAGGTCATTGAATCGCTTGAGGCTCTGTTTCTGTAAAAGGCAGGGATTGGGGGTGTTAATATCTGCCCAGCGGGGATCTTGCCAAGATGACGTACAAGTGCCTAGCACAACGGGTCTGCGCACTGGGTGTTCCCCGGCCCGTGGGCAGAGAGACCAGAGGGAGCAGGGAGAACATCTGGCTTCAGGCAGTGGCCGGAAGCATTTCCAGAACAGCTTGATCCCACAGGGTGTACTTCCTGACTTCTCTGTTTCTAAGGACTTTTTTCTGACTTCCTCACGTGGGCTCCGTGTTTCAAAAGATCTCGCCTGGCAGACAACCTGTATTTATTAAATAAGCACTAATTCATTCCCCTCCTTTTTATTAATCACAAGCACATCTAAGTCTAGCCAGTTTTCTGATCTGCATGAATTGCCACGTATTGCCACATTTCCCTCATAGAACCCCAACCCAAATTGGGGCACAGTTTCTCTTTCTCTCTGGAATATTGAAATGAGCTCGCGGCCCCCACCATTGCCGGGCAAACGCTCATTGGAAACAGGGACAAGGAGCTGTCTTGCTGTTGAAGCGTAACACTTCAATGTGTCCAGGTTGACAAAGGGGACATTTTGATCCGTAGGACATAATGAAGCTGGCCTGAGATAAAAAAGGGAAGAGTTAAAACTGAAAAACATTGGGGTTTTTTAGTTGTTTTTGAAATCTTGGGATTTTTTAACCCTTCAAAGGCTGTAATGGATATTTCTGACCTTGACACTGGAGGAGGCTCAGGGCTTGGACAGTAATGCATATTGATCGTATAATTTAGTATCAAAGAACCAGACCATTTAATGATTTGCCTTTTAGACCACATCAAAACATCCCCACATCAAAATATCCATGTTGACAAGTCAGGTGCCCTCTTTCTAGAAGACATATTCCCCATATTAACTAATTCTTGTTTAGTAAGTGCAGTTCATCTAGTGAGAAAGACATGGGACGCATCATGTTTTCTCAAGAGGTGAGAAAAAGGTGAGAAAGGGCACGAGTGTTTCTTATGCTCTCTCCCTGTTCCTGGAAGAGGGTGAGTCTGGCTGCTTCCTGAGGTCTGGCACCTTTATTGTTCCCACTGACTTCTCTATGGCTAATGAGAGAGGTGACACCATATGCCCAATGTATGTCACGGTGGGGCCATCATTGTCTGGGGCTTCCTCGGGGATACACATGGATAAAAGTGTGCCCTTATCAGTCAGTTATCCTGGGCCCATCCCCCACCCTTTATTTCTTTGCCCACCACCACAAAGGAAGAAACCCAGAAAGAGGGAGAGGAAGAAGAGGCTGGGGGACAGGAAACAGCAGGCTTAAGGAGGAAGATTTAGGGACAACATCTAAATCCCCATCGCCCCCATCGCCCCCTGCTTTCCTGCCTTGGGCTTCCCTTCCCCTGGATTTGCCTCTGTCAAAGTAGTGATGCTCTCACTCCCTCCAAGTACCTATGTCCCAGCATCCAGACCTGCTCCCTTCCTGCTTCCCAGGTCTCTGTGGACGGCACTCAGCACAAATTAGGACACTGCCTGGCACCAAGTATACAAGATCCACTCTGTGCCTACGAGGAGCCAGTGGGGGTGTTGGACATAGAAACAAAGCATTGATGCGCGATGTAGAAAGTTCTTTGGGGAAGGTTTGCATCAGGCACTGCTGTCAGAGGCCGGGGAAGGGCCTGAGTTCATGAATGGCTTCCACAGGGAGACAGAACTTGAGTTCAGTCTTGAAGGTGATAGAGTTGTCCACAAAGAGGAGAGGAGGAAGGAGCCCCTGGGGCCAGAGCCTCACATCCCGAATGCCGTTAGCGCCCCCTGGCGCCGGCTTGGGGGACATGCGCGCCTGGAGGCGGGGACCGCGGGTGGAAAGGCGGCTGGAGTGGAGTCCTGAAGAGCTAAGCCAGGGGCCGGGAGATACACACGGAGGGACCCGGTGGGGCCAAGAAGTGTTTGGGAGGTGGAATCAGCGTGATTGCAGGACTGAGGGAGGAGGCAGAGCCCAGGTGACAGGCCGTGATTGGGGGCTGAGGAGGCAGGACAGTGAGTGACAGCTGCCATCTCAAGGAGCTTGACCGAGAAGGACAGGCAAGAATTAGGGCAACAGCCAGAGTGACGCCTGATGAAGGGAGATTTCTGGGTCACAGCACTAAGTGACCATGTCTTGAGTGTGCCCGGGGAGGTGGGGGGGGATGGCCAAAGTGGGGCGCTGAAAGGGCATGGATGCTGGGGCTGTGGGGGGCTCCCCCTCACGAGGGAGCAGAGACAGACTGCTGGGGACTTCGTGTGACTCTGTGTGACCTACCCCATACAGGGCCCACTCAGTAGATATCAGCGGCCCATCTCGCTCTTCCTGCCTTCTTCTCCCGTCTGTCCCTCCCTTCCTCCCCGCTGCCTGCCTTCCTGCTTCTCCAAGGCTCAGCATCTCTCCTCGCCCTCCGTCCTCCACGGCCCCACCACCATACACACAGATCATTTATAAAAACATTTGTCAAGCACGGCCCACAGCTCCTGACGGCAGTTCTCTCATGGTTCGCTTGTTCCTCAGACATAACGTACAAGAGGTCCCGGGTCCCAGCTGGAGCCAGCAAATCCTGCTGGCTGACCCGGGCCACAGCTGTTCCTGATGGTCTCCATCACTGACACTCAATTTCCCCACCTGGCTCCGGGGACCGGTGTGTGCAGCTGGATGACACCGTCATTCAGCCCGGTCCACCCACAGCTGTGCAGCTCTTACCGTGGGCCGATCACTGACTAGGCACTTGCAAGAGGGCTGAGACTCTGGAGCCTCTCGCCATCTTTGCAAAGACCACAGGGCAGAAAAGTTAAATTAACAGTCCACAACGCCAATAAAGTTCTAGACAATTGCAGAAGAGAGTCACAGGCATGATCAATTGCCAGAGTAATTGTGCAGATAGCCATCTCCACGAGGAGCACAGAGCAGGGAAAGTCAGAGGCAGGAAGATTGCACCAAGATTGATGGGCTGCAGGCAGAATGGGGTTCGGGTCCAAATTCTGCCAGTGACATCATGTGACCTTGAGAGTGTGCTTTCCCTTCTCTCCAGCAGTCCTGTCCTAGAGGGAGGGGCTGTAGAGCGAGGTTGCTGAGATCCTTTCCAGCGCTGGTATTTCCGGCAGTGCAGGACTGTACTGGTCAGGGAGGTTGGAGGAAGAATTGAACCATGAGCCTTGCTCAGCGGAGCAATCCAGGACAGAGCTGGGGCTGCGAGAAGGGCATGCCTCCTCTACTCGCCCTTTACCGCCGACCCCCAGCGGGGTCTCCTGCTGGCTCCAAGGACCCATCTAGAGAATGCAACCATACATCTAAACACAGATTTCCCATGCACTGAGCCCTTACACCCCCGCCACCCAAAAACCCTACGGGCTAGGACAGGCGTGGCAGATCTTACCCCCCTGATTTTGCAGAGGAGAAAACCAAGAAGCAAAGGAGAGAAGGGACTCACCCAAGGTCCCACTGGGAAGTAGAGGCAGAGCCCAGAATCAGGTACAGAAGAGAAATGAGGAGCTTCACCTAGCTCCAAGTGGGGTTGGCTCACTCCCGTTGGCCCCCTCTCCAGTGTCCCCACAGAGGCGCGGCGCTGACAGGCCACCATGCCCCACACTAGCTCGCCCGCCTCCCAGGATCCGGCAGGCAGCCCCTTTGATTTGCTGCTAATTCTTTGTTTTAAAAAGATTCACAACTCAATTACATCAGGTAACAATGGCTCACAGTCAATAATACAAAACGCAAACCCAATAAACATCCGTTCTGACCATGGGGCACGGATTGAGATGAGGAAAAACAAAACCAAAAAAAAAAAAAAAAATTACTGCATCAGCTCGTCAAGAACAGTGTCTTGTAATTTCCAGTAAATTGGAAGCACTGCAAGTCATTTTCCCCAGTTGAGTGGCAGGTGTATTTGTTGTCATTTGTCAACCATCAAAAATCGTCTACAGGGAATGGGGTAGACGCTTTGGAGAGTCGGGCTGTGTTAATTATTCTGGCACGAGTTTGTGGGACATGAGTCACAGGACTGGGGGGTCCTCAGACATGACAAGGCTGCCTGTGCCCCCACTGGTCCTTACAGAGGTGGGTCCTGCCCCACTGGTCCTTACAGAGGTGGGTCCTGGGTGAAACCCAACAGGCACCGGCTCTCTCAGGGTCGGCCAGGTGCCGGGTCTGCACCAGGGAGGGAGGTTCCTTACCCACTCAGGGCCTTGAGCAACAGCTTGGATTTGGACCCAGTTGTGTCTGCATTCAAGCCCATGCTTTTCTCTGGGCGGCATGGCCCCCTCCAGAGATAAGCATTGTAAGCAGCATTTAGAAGCTTCCAAAGGAGTGCAGCGCTATGGTGGAATGTCAGGCCTCTGAGGGCTGGCGAGGGAGGTGCTGCTTCTCCTACAGTTAGTCCAGGAAGGCAGTCGCCTGCCTACTCCCCTGCCTTTAAGCCAGCCCCTCATCCACATTGGAAATGTGGGGCTGAGGCCAACACAGGAAAGTGAAATCGGCTGTTGACAAGCTCTACTGTCTACTCTGTAGAGCCGACCCAGCCTAGAGTCCTACCTTGCACTTGGCATCCCTGCGCAGTCTTTTCAAATCCATTACTTCTCCTCATGAGGACAGGGGTCCTTGTCCTCATTTTTGTACCTTGGTGGGGAAGCTGAGGCTCCTAGAGGTTAACCAGCTCGCCCCAGGTCACCCAGCCAGCAGAGCGCCCAGTCTATGACTCAGAACTCGGGCCTCTTGGCATCCCACCTCATTGCCAAGAGCTAGGACTAGACCTAGATGGGGCTGAGGCTCATATTTGGGGGTGGGAGTGGCAGGAGAAATAGGAAAGAAGGGCTGGGAAGGAAAAAGGAGTGAGAAACAACTTCTAAAATATAATAATCTGACTGAATTTAATCTGCCGGAGTTCCGTATGATTCATAATTCATGCAGATTGATGTAAATGGCTATAAAAATGATGCAGGAAGGGCTGAGTGGGGGTATAGCTTACCTCTCAGCCATAGCACAAGTGGGAGGGACAAGGTCTCTGCCTCCAGCGGCAGTTTTCCAAGCAAACCACACCTTCAGGTTGAAAGGATTTTCTCCTGATAAAGCCCTGGAAATACCGAGTAGTGAGCAGAACCAAGGCGGGGGGGGGGGGGCCCTCCCCCGACCCCACGCTCTCTCTAGATTCTACACAGTTCATCCCTGGAGCTGGGCGGTGGGGGGGAGGGGGCAATGGGAGTGAGCCCCACCACCACCCACCCCTGCCCTAGGCTTCCCTTCTCTGAGCTAAATAATCCTGCTGCTTGCCTGTCACCAATATGCCTTCCTTTCCCTCAACAGTCCTGGCCACCTTCTCCATTTCTAATGGGTCAGGAGCGACGATGGGCATGTGGGACCGCGCTGCCATGCATCCAGATAAGCCTCGCACCAGCATGTTGGAGAGAACGTGGCCTCTTTGAGGGGATGGGGGCTTGGACCGGGGTCTGCCAGTGACCAGCTGTGTAGCCTCAGATGAGTTACTTGGTCCCTCTGAGCCTCAGTGTCCTCACCTGTCAAGTGAATTACTAGCAGCTACTGTTTATGGCTACTGGGGAGATGCCCTATGCATTCATGCCTGCCGCCTTATAGGATGCTCAGGAACCAGCCCCTACCCCGTCCTGCAGAGCTGGGTCCTCTCGCTGCCCAGCTCCAGCACCTGCTGCGGCCGCACCTACCAGAGGCTTCCCTGCCTCTCCACTTCCACTCACACAAGCCCAATTCCAATCCTTCACCTCTGTCTCCCTGTGTGACCGTCCTGCCCATCCGACATCTCTGCCACGAGGACAAGTTCAGACCTCAGTCCCCAACACCCAGCAGTGGCATGCCACTGCTCCATTGCCTGTCATGGACCTGTCTCCCTTCCCAGCCCCGAACACCTACCTGACTTTCACGACTTCGTGCCAAGATTGTCACTTTCTCGGGGCTTTCACCTATGATCTCTTTTTGACGTTGAACCTCTCTGCTACCCTGTAAGTTCAGAGAAGATACAATTCTTCTTTGACTACAGAAGAGGCTGGGACTCCAAGAGGACACACAGCTAGGAAATGGTCCACTCTGGTCATAGAACCCCAGAGCCTCTTTGCCTCCCTAATACAGCCACTCTTAGGGTGAGACTTCTCTTTTCATAACGATAATTGTCTCTCCAGCTTCTTTGGAAGCCCCAGGAGGGGCTGAAGCCCATTTCCAGTCTCCCTTTATGCATACAGCCTTGAGCCATGTCAGCTTTCAGTGAGCTCCAGTCCGTGTCTGGCCACCGACAGGGTGACAGACCTCAGACTCTCCGTGGCATTCCGTGGAGATCTCCGGTCTTCACCTGCCGCATTCGCAATCAGCCAGCCCTCCAGGCTTCTCTCTGTACAGAGGGACTTAACTCTGCCTTAGGAGAGCCCCCAGGAGGCCCCTCGAGTACTTGGAATATGAGACATTTCCTAGAATTACAGGTGGAGAAGCCACCACGTGTGCACATGTACAAACCACCTCGCATCTCTTCCTGAATGCTTTCCGTAAAGGACCTTGGATCTGAATGCATGGAGACATGAAAATCTCCCAAGACCCTTTCCCTGGCAGATGGTCTCTGGAGAGGCGTTTGAAACTAGCATGCAGCTGTCTTCAAGACATGCTGCTTTTCTGATAAGGTTCGCCAGTTGAGTCCTCCCGTCCTTGTGTGACTCCATCTCGACAACCTAAGAGGCACAGAAATAATCCTGCGCTCCCCCTCAACTCTGTTTTTATTCATCATGATCGGTTGTTTTCTGTATACACATGGCTCTAGAAAGAGTTACTAGTGGGATGGGAATTGAACAGTCTGTGCTCAGAAACACTGCTCACCTCGGGGATGACCTTGTGTCTAGACCCAGGGAGAAAACTTGAAAACTGTATACCCAGTCAATGACTGTGACTTCCGCCATTAATAATAACAATAACAATAATAATACATAATATAAGTTGTAATAATTGTATGATACTATGGAATAACTTATGTGTCAGCCATAGTTCTATGGCTACATGTCTTAATTCCTTTAATCTCATACACATACATGCTAGAATGTAGGTTCACTTATTATCCCCATTTTACAGATGTGGACCAGGAAAGTTAAGTCACTTGTCTAAGGTCACATGAGTCCTTTGATCTCAACAAGGGAAAGAAACCATAATGGGACATGCCAAGTATTCAAGAAATCATCACCCCAACACCCCCCATTAAAACAGACTCTCCCTATCTTCCTTCTCCTTCTCCCTCTCTTTCCTCTTGTACCCCATACTGGTTCATACTGGTTCTTCCTGGCTCTGGGAGTTAGGCAGTTCCCCAGCCCTCTATCAACAGGACTGTCCTTTTCTGACCATGGGGAAAGGAAGCCTCCTTGCTGACCTCATGGCTGACGCAAGGTGCAGTAGGGGAAGAACCATCAGGACCACGATGGTGGGGCACTGAGCCCCCTGGGAGCTCCTGTGTTGGCAGGAAGGGAATCAGTCTTCATGTGCTTTGTTCCATTGCAGCATCTCAGGCTACGGAGCTGCTGGTGGGAAAGGCGGGAAGAATACCATGATGCGGTCCCATGGCGTGTCTGTGCTGGGCATCTTCAACCTGGAAAAGGGCGACACTCTGTATATCCTGGTTGGACAACAGGGGGAAGACGCCTGCCCCAGCGTAAGTTCCCAGAGCAGGGACCTCTCCTTCACACTCACAGAACCCCGGGTGGCCCTTTGGAGGGCATCAACCATGGATACCCTCCTTCTGGGAGCTCATATTTCAAAGATGGCAGGACTTACCCCTCGTTCTGCCTACGCATGCCCCTCCCCTTCCGGGCCCATTTGGGTATGGCTGTTGGGGTTTCACATCTCCACGGGAACCAAGGAGGAGGCATGGGTTTTGAGAGTGACCCTTAAAACTTAAGAACTGGATCCTACTTGAGTGAGCAAATGGTTGTTCTTTTCAGCAGACTACACGCTAAAGCCCATCTCCTACCCTTGCTTGCTGGGGCACCATTGTCTTTATCCCTATTATAAACAGGACACTTTACAGATGAGAAAATCAAGAGCACAGAAGGGAAGGGACTTTTCCAAAGCCACTCACAATGCCGCACAGAGTAGGGACTCTGGCTCCCGCTAGTGCCGTGCCCCACACTTATTGGGCCTCGGTTTCTATGCCCTTTTCCCCTTCCTCACTTAAAGCCCATCATCTGACAAGCCAGACTGCCATCCTCTGCAGCCCCAGAGACAGCTTGTCTTTCTGGATTCTCATCCCATTGGGGTATCCACCTGTCAAACAGTGAGCGCTCCAACGGCAGGACTTGAGAAAGCCGGCAGGGATCTAAAACCGCCAGGAGAATGAGACTTTGAAAACTAAGAATGTAGCAGCCGCGGAGACTCTAGGCATCCCAGTGGTTTGCCTCTTGTCTGTGTTGGGGGTGACAGGACCCTGCCGGTGCAGGCTGGCCTGGCAGGAACACAGTACTGTGAGGCCAGGCCGCACCCTCCCCTGAATCCCAGCTTCCACTCAGGGTGGGGCCAAGGCAGGGAGCTGGGTCCCAGGCCCCTTCTCCAAGAGCTCATTCAAGAGCAGCCTTGGGAGACAGATGTGGGAACAAGGACTACCCAGGAAGCAATACGATTCCACAAAATAAACTCAGGTCTCCTAAAAGCCGGGCCTCAGGTTGGGAGCAAGGAGGAGAGCACAGCACCCATCTCCCACCCCCACCCCCACCGACAGGGTTCAAACAAAGCAATGGGAGTAAGCGCGGCAGGTGCAACCTTGCACGTGAGAAATGTCTGGACCACAACTTTTATTTAGCAACTATAATCAGGACTTTCGAACCTGATATAATATATTAAGTCATTAAGTTACAGGCTGCTGTAATTTCCACAGGAACGTATCGAGTGCTAATGTAATTCTTTCATCTAAGCAGAGAGATTGCATTGACTTCTGCAAGGGACTTTTACTTGATTGGACTGTAATCAGTTATGTCTTTTCACAGGACTAAGTCCTTTTTTTTTTTTTAATTCAATTGTAATCTACTTGTTCCTTGGGGCTGCCGCACTTTATCATGTTATTAATCAACCTACTTGCTCTCAAACTTTGGGAATGCACAAGGAGAGTTCCAAAGAAGCCCAGGCTCAGCTGGGCCCCCTGCTGGTCAGGCTGGGGATAGCAGGGATGGGGAGAAAGGCGGTATGGGGTGGGGGGAGGGCAGTTAGTCCTGGGTCTTCCCTGTGGCCTCACACCTCCTCCTGCAGGAGTCACTGGAAGAGAGAGAAAGAAGGATCTTTTGTCACACTACTTCAATCTCCAGTCCTCTCTAGACAGAAAAATGGTGCCTAAAGAGGATCCTCTAGTGAATGGAGTGCACTCTTAAGAATTAAACTGCAGAATTTGGCAGCTTTCCTGGTTCAACAGCACATCTGTGTGCAGTCGCTCTTCCTTTGTGCCTGGTCACACCTGAGCCTGGCATGGACTCCAGCCGCTGAGAACCCCCTCGGCTACTGCTTCTCCAGTTCCTCCCAAGCCTCATCTGGTGACATGACCACGCAGTCTGGTGGCACGGCTTTCTTGACATCAGCATTATTGGCATTTTGGAGAGGATGAGTCTTTGTTGTGGGCAACAGTTGTGGGCACCATAGGGTCTCTAGCAGTCTCACTGGCTTCTATCCCCTAATGCCAGTAGCATCCTCCAGGATTAACGATCAAAAATGTGTCCAGATATGACCAGGTGTTCCCAGAGTAGAAAAACCACTGGTCTAAATGTTACATTTCACAACTTCCATCACTCGCAAGGCAGAAATTGTGAGGGTCAGCACCTACCCAGATGGCCCCCAATTATTCAAATGTATTCAGCAAATATCTATCAGTCACTGTTCTAGCAACTTGAGATATATCCATGAACAAAAGAAAGATCTTTGCTCTGAAGGAGCTAATGTTCCCATTGGGGGACAAGGGAAGAACAATGACTAGTAATATCAGCAATCAGAGCACCCGGAAGTGAAAGTGTTCCAGTGAACGGAAGTAGGGTAACAAGAGTCAGGTGTGTAGGGTAAGTTGCGATTATAGATAGGGTGGTCGAGGGAAGCCTATTGAATAAATGACAGCTGAGCATCGGCCATGAAAGGGATCGAACCAGGAACATATCTGGGGATGGTAGCCAAGCAGAAGCCAAGACACTGAGGTGGGAGAGTACAGCCAGGGTGTAAGTAGGGGGAGCAAGAGTGAGAGTTGGTGAGAGATGAGGTGATCAGGCCACCATCAGGACATTTTTAAGCTATAGGAGGGTTTTGAGCCTAAAGGTGGGAATAGGTGGAACAGGGAGCAGCTGTGATTTATAAGACTCACTTTGGCCGCTGTATAGAGCTCACTTGGGACCAAGGGAAGAGTCAACATAATGAACTCAGTGGTTACTTCATTAGTCCAGACAAGAGATGATGGTGGCTTGGATGAAGATGGTGACAGTGGCTGAATTCTGGACATATTTGGGATGCAAAATCCAAAGGATTTCCTGCCCAACTAGCTCAAGAACTGAGACAAAGAAAAGATCAAGGATGACTCCAAAAATTGCACTTGAGCCATGGGAATAAGGGAGCTGCTGTCACCTGAGCTGGGAATGGTGTAGAGGGAGCAGGTTTGGGAGCAAGGTAGGAGAGGTCTGGTGGACAACCAGGTGGTGACTTCTGGAAGCCAACAGAGATGGGCAGTGGGGGATGGGCGAGAGTCTGGACTCTCATTAGAAGAAAGGCCATTCCCCAGCCCAACTGCTCCCTCCTTCCCACTCCTGCAAACCCAGACACCTTGAGATTCCGTTCACAGGAAGAGGGCATCCCCAAAGGGTGGAGGTCCCACTGCCACTGGACAGAGAGATGGGGAGCAGGGTGTAAGAAGACGGACCTTCTTCATATCACTGGTTCAGACTGGACAGCCCCTCAATTTACACAGGAAGAGGCAGGTCCAGGAAAGTGAGGTTCCTCACCCGGTGTGACTCAGCAAATCTCTAGCACAGCCCATCAAGAAGCCAGATTGGACCCTGTATTTTGTGCTCCGCTGTGCCCAGTGGACATCCCACATTTGGGTCCCTGGCCCCAGGCTCAGCCCTCCAGGAATGCCCCTGACATCTCATGCCCAACCCAGGCAGCCGTTAGCAGGGTTTCTCACCCCCAGCACTCCACCCCCACTCCCAGCCCATCCCCACTACATCCCACCTGGACAGCCCGCACACACACCCAGGAGAAATGTCAGCTCTCTACAATAGCAATTCAGAACCTTCCACCCGCACTAAATCCACTCTAAAAAATATCAAATTATTTCCATCATTAAATCCAAAATGCCATAAAACAAATTGCATCTTGGCTATTTATCTGGAAATTTCTGTAGCACTCATTGCCGGCACCCCTGAGTGCTTTAGCATACGGAGTGGCTCAAGATGAATTGCCGTGTCCACTGGCTGGTTACACAGCAGCATTCAATGGAAATGCGGTGTTTTATTGGCCTTTTTTCTAATAAGTGAAAGAAAAGCCATTTTCCTCCAAAGTCGGGTGGATGTTTGGATCGTTCTTCTTAGCGGCTGTGCCAAACAGGCTGATTCTTCCAGAAGCCCTGCCCTCTTTATTGGGGGATTCCCAGATTTTGGGTCCCAGAGATTTCCTGCACAACCCCAGGGACTTCTAGATGCCTGAGCCCACAGCAGGAGCACATGAAATAGCAGCAGCTGTTTATTGAGTCCCTAACACAGGAGACACCCTCCTAGATACCTCTCCTAACGCCTGCGGCTGTGTGTGCTGTGTGTCTGCATTCCTGTTCCACACCTGGAGGTCAGAGAGGTTGGAGCACCTACTTCTCAGTCATCCAGGGGTATCTGCAGATTCCTGGGACCCCACCCTGTTCTCCGTCTTGGACACAGAGAGCTCCATTTCGGACTGTGTCAGGGGATTTCTGGAGGCAAGAAGTGGGACCTTAGATGGGAGGGAAGAGGTGTCCAAAATGGAGAAATGATTTTCCCAAAGGTGGGCTGGGGATAAATCTGAGCTTGGCCTCGCACTGCTGTGTCCTTTTCCCATGATACTTCAAAACTGAAACTACTCAAAAAACCTTCAATGACTCACCACTGCCTAGAGAATGAAGTCTGACTGTATTTAAGGCTGCTGGCCATTATCTGACTGTCCAGTTGAATTCCCTGACTCACTCGCATTTACACTCCCTCCAGCCCTACCTCACCATCTAGGGCCTTTGTCATTCCCTCTTCAGAGTCCGGAGGATCCTAACAGGTCCTCCTAGACTGTTTCTCTGTCCTAAAATGGACTTTTCTGAACCAAAGAGACTCCTTGTACTTTTCCCCCAAATTCCCTCTTTACCTCTTTCTCCCTGGGCTCATGCTAGTCTCTTCCCCTCGAGTGCCCTAACTTCATTCTCTGTTTTAAAATCTCCCTGTCCTTCAAGGCCCAACTAAACACCAGTTCCTACAGGCAGTCCCCCTTGATTACCAGTCAGCAACAAAGCTGCTTGCTGCCCCCCATCTTCCCATGCATTTTCTATCAAAGCTGTCCTATGGTCCTTCTCTAATACTCTCTAGTGACAGTTATCTGCGTGTGAATTTATATATTTGTCGCTTCAGTTCTACCAGAACTATCTGAGAGGTCTTCAGAGCCCATCATGAAGCATTGAAGGTCTGCTGGCAAGTAGAGAACCTTGGGCACCAACTTGAGGGGCATTTTGTTTCTACAGACAAACCGATTAATCCAGAAAGTCTGCATTGGAGAGAACAACGTGATAGAAGAAGAAATTCGTGTGAACAGAAGTGTGCATGAGTGGGCCGGAGGGGGCGGAGGTGGGGGCGGAGCCACCTACGTGTTTAAGGTAAGTCTGGCGGCCCCAGCTCCCCATGGGCGGTGACCTTGGGCATCACAGACCCAGGACGTGGGCTTCTCATGACAGCCCTGGGAATGGAGCAGGTCAGGCGTCCTTAGACCCACCAGAGATGAGCAAAGCGAGGCCCAGAGGGATGTAGGGGTCCCTATCTGAATGAGAAGAAGCAGGTTCTTTCTTTTCTTGCCAACGTCCCAGGCCAATGTCCCCATGCAGGTGTTGCCATCCCTCTCTCAAGTTCAGATGGTCCCACGGTGCCCTCCTCTGTCCCACGGTGGGTTTTTCTGACATGATCAAAAGCAGGCAAAGGCTTCTGCTAGGTCCTCGCACCGGAACAGTGATGCTGAGGGCTTAATCTTAAAGTTACGGAGGTGAGAGCCAAAGGCCCCGGAGAGTGGGGAGGAATAGGGGAGCAGAGAGCCATGCTTATAAGCACCAGCACCTAGTCCTCTGAGGCCAGGGTGAGCAGCTTCTAGAAAAGATCCATCCCACCTCTTTAGTGGTGCTTTTGCTTCTCTGACTGAACCCCGACGGGTATGGGAGCTGGGGGCGGGGGATAGGGAGAGCGGACGGGTTGCTGCAACACGAGGTCAAAGCCCTCAGACCACCGGGATGTCACCCAGAGCCCAGCATACACTCTGACACTCTGAATGCAGCAGTGGCTCAGGAGTCCCCGGAGTGGGAGCCCTGCTCGCTTTCTCAGTCTCTGGTCATCTCCCCGGACAGATGAAGGACGGCGTGCCAGTGCCCCTGATCATTGCAGCCGGCGGTGGCGGCAGGGCCTATGGGGCCAAGACAGACACGTTCCACCCAGAGAGACTGGAGAATAACTCCTCGGTGCTGGGGCTGAACGGCAACTCCGGAGCCGCAGGTAAGACGCTGCAAGCCCATGCCTCCCCCGGACCGGCCCCTGGGACTGTGCGCTTGGGCTCGGCCCAGCGTCATCACACACCTGCATCCCAGTTGCTGGTGCTTGAGAAGCTGGGAGCTCTGGAGGCTGGTACCCATGTCAAGGGAGGGAGGGCGGGCTACAGCCTGGGGACCTGGAGGCGCCTTTACTGATGTGGAGTCTGAATTGCAGAGGTCCCGGAGCACAGAAGACAGGCAGCCTCCCTGGGACGGGTAGCCCAGCCTCCCCAGGTTTCCTCAAATGCAGCTGGATGTGAGCAGGTGGCAGCAGCGTGGGCACAGTCAGGCCTCCCCAGCCCTGTGGTTGGTGCCTCCAGGCCCCGGGCCACCAGCTCACAAGTCTAGCTGGAAAAGCTCTTTCAGGAACCTCCTTGGTCTGGCAATCCATGCTCCCAAGTGAGAGCCAGCCACACAGAAATCGGAGACGGACACCAAAGGGGGTGTGAATTCGGATTCCTCGGAAGCCGGCCATGTCTGAAGAGAAAATTCGGTTCAGTTTTATATTTTCTTTTCTCCACAGTCAGACCAAGGATCTTGGGAGGCATTTAAGATTTGAGGTTAATTAAGCAAGTACTCAAACTTGCCCTCCTAGTGAGAGATGGCTAGAAGAGAAGGAAGCGTAGAAATAGGGGTTGGGACCTCAGTGAGGACGAGGACGACCCAGTGCTGCTCCTGGCGCTCTGGCAGGTTGTTTTCTTTTCCATATATTTGCTTAAAAGCTCTAAGACAGAGTGGGGGGGTCAGAAACCCCCTCAGCCTGGGATTGCTCTGGGCACAAGGTAGAGTCACCGGCACTGGTGGGGTGGTGGGCAGGGGCAGACACGGTATCAGGGCGAGGTCATCCTAATTTATTTACCACACTCACGGCCCACTTCAGGTCCCTAATGTTGCCAAGGGGCCTTCCCTTTGCCACGAGACATCAACGACTCTGAAAGGCCCACGCGCCACCCTCTGGCTGACAGAAGGGAGACCAGCTGCTTGAAACCCGGGCCAGATGCCACAGGCCTGCAGCTCCCAAAGCTGACTTGCCTGGGGGCCTCGACTCGGTTCTGATCATCCCTCTTCTAGACCGAGCTTGTTCCTGACCTTGGCCTCCTGTCCTAAAAACCTGGCTCCTTCTCTCTAGCACAGTAGTGATCTCCATCCTCAGATCCCACACCTAGACGTCCCTCTGCTGCCCCCTGGGGGTCCAGAAGCGCCTCTGCCAGGCATTCTTCCAGAAGGCCCTTCCAGGCCCATTAACCCTCGTGGTTCCACAGACCCACCACGGCTGTTTCTCCAGGTCCTCCCCACCCATCGCCTGCTGGAACAGAAAACACTGTGGGGGCTTCTGGAGTAGACTGCCTATTGAAATGTCATATGGAACAATATAGGGGGAGAGAGAGAGGGCCCTGGAATCTCAAGGGCCAGCAGGAGAGATTGACTATGGCTGGCCCGTGGCCTAAAGATAAAGTTGCCTTCGACCTCAGCTCTGTAAATAACATTTCCTCCCTGAGAGTTCAGAGCAGACCCAGGCATTGGGAAGCACAGCTCCGGTGACTTTCATCCCAAGGGGACTGCCCACCCCTTTCCTCAACCCCTTCCCCAACCCCATCTTCCCTGCCCCTGACCTTGGAGCAGCTCTTTAGAAGTGGTCCAGCAAAACGAAGCTACAGAGTGTGAAAACCTCTGCACACCCATGTTCTACCTCTTACGCCCAACCGTCCCTACATGTCATGGTTTAGGAAGTGTTTGGCACACCCACTGTCCCCTTCGGTCTGAACATCAACTAAATGAGGCAAGTCTTACTATCCCCGAGTTACAGGTGAGGAAACTGAGGCTCAGAATGGAAAAGAGCTGGCGCACGGTTTCAGAGCCAGTAAACAATAAAGCCCACTGGGTTGTCTGGCCTCGTCCAGGATCCGTGTAGAGGAACCCCGCCGCAGCGACCCCAGCAGGGTTTTGACGGTTGGCTGCCCACGGACTGGCAGGTCCCAGTCCTTGCTGGGATGTGAAGCATTAAGGAAACCAAGTCCCCACACAGCTGTGGCCAAAGCCGGTCTCATGAGGGCAGAGGGCACGCTCCTGTTTTTCCAGCTGTGGATCCTGAAGCCCGGAGCCCTCCCCAGCTTCTGGGCGCCGTTGCCGGAGCAAGCATCCTCAGAGCCCGCGGCGTCCTGCCTCCCCTGGCCGGCACCCCCTCACTCGGGGTTTTCTCCATCTCTTCCTGCAGGTGGCGGAGGTGGCTGGAATGATAACACTTCCTTGCTGTGGTCTGGAAAATCTTTGCTGGAGGGTGCCACCGGAGGACATTCCTGCCCCCAGGCCATGAAGAAGTGGGGGTGGGAGACAAGAGGGGGTTTCGGAGGGGGTGGAGGGGGGTGCTCCTCAGGTGGAGGAGGCGGAGGATATATAGGTAAAGATGATTCGTGTTCAAGGTGTCACTCCCTCCCCTCTTAGTCCTAGGCACTCCCTGTCCTCTCCCCGGCCCTCGCCTGCCCTCCCCTGCCCACCCCAAGTGTGGACTGTGATGTCACCATGCACGCCTTCCTCTCAGCCCCATAGACCAGCCAGAGGCAGGGTGTTGGCTCTCGCGCCAACATCCTGCCTCGAGGCTTCAATACCAACAGCTTCAAAACCTCGTGCATTCTTGATGACTGCTCCCCAAGCCAATGATCAAGGGCTTTGATTTCCTAGACTATTCTCTGAGCAACCCCTAATGGCGCGCCGGCACGAGAACCTTGGCGGCCACACTCCCCAGGCCCATGCCTTCCTTCGGACGTCCTGGCCTGAGTCTTTGCCAAGCCAGCTCCCTGAAGGCCTGGTCTGTGGCCTCTGGCCTCACCCTCTCCCTTCCCTGCCCCAGCCCACCAGCTTCCAGAACTTTGCCCCTCTCTATGTCGAGAGGCAGCGCCAGCCCAGCCCATTAGCCAGCAGCCAGCCACAGGCCCCAGCTCTCCTCCGAGCTTCAGAGCAGAGCTCGAGAGCCTTCTGAAGCTGAGAGGCTGGGAGGCTGGGAGGCTGGGAGGCTGGAAGACGGTGGCTCCATCATCCCCACAGATTAGGAAACAATGCATGCCCGCACTGTGATGTTCTGTCTGTGTTTTGCTTTACGCTGTGTGTGAGACGCTTGTTCACCAGACACTCTTCTTTTCCAAACTCTGGGTGGGAGGGAGGAGCCTGAGGGGGGAGCCCAGAGATAACCCAGCCCAGCTGAAAGGAGGGACAGGAGCCTAAAGGCACAGGGGCCCATCCCCTCCCCCCATGCCTCAGCCTGACCCCATGGGACTGGAGAGCAACTCCTCAGTGCTACTGGCCTGGCCAGTTCTGTAAGAGGCAGCAAGGGGCTAGTCTAGCCTGAGGACACGAGACCCCTTCTGATTCTTGTTCACATGACCTGCTTCCGTGCAGCCCCAGTGCAGTGGCGGGGCCTCCCCGGCAAGGGGCTGGCCCGGAACTGGAGGGAAGGCGGCCCTCACACCCAGCATCTACTGAGCCCCTCCCCAAGTGCCACCCCTGTGCCCCAGGCCTCCCTTCCCTCCCCACAACCCCACCCTGAGGCCCTTCCCCACCCCGGGGGCCCCCTGCATGCCCTGCTGAGCGCAGCTGTGCTGAGACCTGGGCCCCCCACCTCTCTGCGTTCAACTCTTCTCTGGTTTGGCACAGGCGGCAACGCGGCCTCAAACAATGACCCCGAGATGGACGGGGAGGACGGGGTTTCCTTCATCAGTCCGCTGGGCACCCTGTACACCCCTGCTCTAAAAGGTATCCCCTCCGCCAAGCGACAGAACTGACCCGCTCAGGCCAGTTCTCCCGCCCAGACAAAACCTCAGGGCCACGGACACAAGTCCAAGATACAAAGGCATGATCACGGGTCCCTCACAGCATCCTTCCCACTGCTCATCTCGGCAGGATGTGTGGTCTGATACAGACCTAGAGGCAAAAGACTGACTTTCAGGCAGGCCGGTCCTAGAAAATGCGACAGTTATAGTCCCCTGAGCTGGTCCAGCCATCCCGAGAGGCTCACACTCGGAGCCTCCCCTCTGCCTACAAAAATGCATCCTCGTGTCTCCCTAACTCCTTCAGATGCGTCAGGGACATCCCTCCCCACCGCGGTCCTTCAGGGGTGGGGGGACAGAGGGATGGGGGCCAGAGAACCCACCCCGACCCGCTAGAGATAAAGCACAGACGCCAGGAGCAGGGTGTGGGGTGGTCCTCCCTGCCACAAGCCGAGGCTGATCCTCCCTTCTTGTCGCCAGTGATGGAGGGCCACGGGGAAGTGAATATTAAGCATTATCTAAACTGCAGCCACTGTGAGGGAGACGAGTGCCACATGGACCCCGAGAGCCACAAGGTCATCTGCTTCTGTGACCACGGGACAGTGCTGGCTGAGGATGGCGTCTCTTGCATCGGTAAGAGGGCAGTGAGCGTGGTCATGGGCCCAGAGTATGAACCGACAGTGGCTGCAGCTGGTGTCTGTGATTCTGGGACACCTCAGACATAGTTTTGTAAGCATCTGACCCCTGTCTGTCTGCCCCAATACGGGCACTCTGAGGACTGGGCAGAGGGTCCTGTGTGTGAAAGGCAGGTCGTAGCCGAGGAGGGAGCCCCAACGTGTCCAGTCCCACCCGTAAGCCAGGGCGTGAACCCCCATACTCCTACCAAGGGACCATTCTGTCTACACTGAACACCCACCCCGCATGCCAGGGACCCCACTGCCCCATCAAGAGTTTGGAAGCTGGACTTGCAAAACCTCTCAGGTGCTTGAAGACAGAGCTGTGTCCTCCTCCTGCTACAAGTCTCCAGATGGAATAAGGCATTTGTTTCCATCAGTTCACACGGACACTTCTGTGTCTCCTCCCCATCCCGTGTCCTGCATCTGCTGGCGTTCCAGTGACAGTGTCCTTGTGAGATCTAGTTTCCAGTACCAGGCAGGCTGTCCCGGTGTGGGCTGTGCGGATGCGCACCCAGACCCTCTCTCCGGCACTCCGGGCCCAGTGCGCAGGGGCCATGGGCAGTAACTCAGCCGCCGGGTGTCACTGTCGGGCACCTTCTTCTCCTGGGTCGTCCTGAGTCTGTGCTCACCTAAGGACTCTGAATCTCTTCCATAGCCATTCCCGGCTCACCTTCCTACTCTCCTCCTGTCATTGTGCCCTTGACATCTGGGATCAATGTCCAGAATTTGATATGTATCCCTGTCAGGAGTTCCCTCCACCCAAAAGCTACTATTGAAAGTCATAAACTAGAATGAGCCCACTTCCTGCCCCCAGCCCTCTGCAGAAGAAGGCCTCCAGGGTGGGGGAGGAGCGGCTGGCATTGGTCCAGGTTGGGGAGGGTATTTCTCTCTGGGAGCTAGCTCAGAGGGCGATCAGCGATGTCACCAGTGCCCCGCTGGGACCTATCTTGCAGTGTCTCCCACCCCAGAGCCCCACCTGCCGCTCTCACTGGTCCTGTCTGTCGTGACCTCAGCCCTCGTGGCCGCCCTGGTCCTGGCTTTCTCAGGCATCATGATTGGTGAGTGTGCCAGAGCCCTGGGGCTTCCAGGCGGCGTGGGGTTGGGGGCGGGGTCGTGAGGACGGCCAATCGGGTGGAACAGAAGAACATCTCGGCTTCGCTGTGGATACAGAGGTGTCGCTGTGGGTGGGTGGTGATTAGGGCAGCCCAAGCCAGCCTCAATAGAAGGCCCCTCCCCCAGCCCCCAGCACCATGTTCCTTCCCTAGAGGAACTGCTGATTCCATGCCTCGACCCCATATTGAGCCTTCTAGAGGCACTCTACAGAGGAGGACACAGTCGCTAAAGGTCGCCTCACCTGCAGAGTCCACTTCCAGCTGCCATCAGACACAGGTTCCCGGGGACACCTGGCTTTGCTCACTCCCCAGGGAACACCCCCAGCCCCGCCCTTCCCCATGTCAAGCAGGCATCGAAAAGTTAGTTTGTAAGTGTTTCTGTTAGGCCTGTGAGCCAAGGAGCTGATAGGCAGGTCTCAGAGATCTCACCGTGGTCAAGCCAGGCCCTTACTGCTGGAAATGCACGGGGCTGGTGGGCAGGGACGTGAAGGCAGGCAGAGGGAAGGCTCGGCAGGCTCTCAGAGCAGCCCCTTTGGGGAGCTGGGGAGCCAGTAAGGGAGTCAGGGGTGGACAGGGGGAGGGCAACCGGCATTATTTCCCTATATGACGCCGTCTTTCCAAGGGACAGGATGATGACAGCGTCCACTTGCACACTTACCACGTGCCAGGTGACTTACACACTTTAGGTCACTGAATCCTCGCTCACCCCCTGAGCGTGGTTGGTCCATTTCAGAGAGGCAGGCCTGAGCCCGCAGCCGTTGATTCGCTTGCCCTGGCCTCTGACTAGGGCGACTGGGCTTTCCAAACAGAAGCCACCTTGTGCATCCCAGTTTCGTCCTGCCTCCCACGGACTTAGCCCTACAGAACGTTCTCACGGATGGACAGTAAGAGCAGGGATAATGGTCACTGCCCTGGTAGAGCTCTTCAGAATTTCTCAAAACCATCTTATGTTGGTGGCTTCATTTCGTTATGCCATCCCCAAGAGTAGGGAGAGGGAGGCGGGGGTGCTTAGGGGACAAGCAGGAGTTACTGTCCCTGCTGGCAGAGAAGGAAGCTGGGCCCAAAGAGGGCGCGTGACCTGGTCGGTGTTGCTGAGCCTGTAAATAATGGAGGTGGATTTAGAACGCACTCGGGTCCTCTGGCGCCAGCGGAGAGAGCTTTTCAGTCCCTGGCAGTTTCCAGCTGTAGGAAGCCAAGGGACCAGGACATCCAGCTGCACCCTCAAGGCCACCACCACATTTGGCCCACCCAGCGACAGTGCTGAGCAGACTCTAAGGCAGGTCCATCCCAGGGAGACAGGGAACCCCCTCTGAGGGCCGACTTCGGGCTTCGGAACTTGCAGCAATCTTGCTGAAACTTGTTTAGACTGCGTGGCCCTCCTGGGTCTTCCCTCAACCTTCCCTCGTGCTCACACTGGGGGGTCAGACTTTCACCACCACCTGATGGCTCTCCCAGACTACCCCTGCCCCTCCCCACTGCCGCTCAGCCATTTCCTCTGCTGAAATCCTTGCACGCTGAATCCTGTCTTGGGTCTGCTTCTCAGAGGACCCCCAGCTGACGGGCTTCTGCCCCCATAGGAGACAATCAAATCTCGTTCATTTACAAGATTTTAAACTGTCCATCTCCTTTAAATGATCTTTCATTTTGTTAGTCTTACTAAGTGTGACGGAAATGTTTAGATCCTCGAGGAGGAGATGGAGATCCAGGAGGGCTTCCTGGAGGAGGCAGCCCATCCTGGGCTCCAAGGGGCCAGGTGGCCTGGTCCAGGCCGCATTGGGCCGTGTTGCAGCTAACCTTCGTCTGTGCGTAGTGTACCGCCGGAAGCACCAGGAGCTGCAGGCCATGCAGATGGAGCTTCAGAGCCCGGAGTACAAGCTGAGCAAACTCCGCACCTCCACCATCATGACGGACTACAACCCCAACTACTGCTTTGCGGGCAAGACCTCCTCTATCAGTGACCTGAAGGAGGTGCCTCGGAAAAACATCACCCTCATCCGGTGAGTTCCCCACTCCGGGCAGCGGGGGAGGGGGATGGTGCATGGGGAGGAGTCCTTGGGGGCTGGATGTCATCCCTGCACGGTGGATTTCTCTAGCCACAAGAAGCCAGCAAAGCCACCTCTCGGGTCATTTCCAGCCCTCCTGGGAGAAGGCTTCATGTCCAGGGCCATTTGGGGAGGTATTAATCGTTTATTTTAACAGCCCATCTATTCACGGGGTTTGCAGTAAGAGGAGAGCAAGATGGGAGGGACCAGGGCCTGCCTCAAAATCCACTCTAGGGCTCCCTCCGGAGTCCTCTGGGCCCCGCCTTCTCCAGGAGGAGCCAAGTGCCCCTCCTCGGAGCTTCCAGAGCCCCCCATGCCTTCCTCCATCATGGACTGAGCACATCCCGCAGGAGTGTCTGTCGGGGATCTGTCCCTCCCCAGGGCGTGGGAGCCTCTCCCCAGGCAGGGCTGTGTCTTCACCTCTGCGACCCCAGCAGAGATCAAAGACTTAGTCTTCATTGAATGAATGAACCGTACAACCAGTATCCTGAATCTCTGGTTGGAACCTTTCTTGCCGGGTTTCAGATAAGGTAGTGGAGGCCCGGGGTAGTCTAGCAAAGCCAGGTGGGGGGACGTTGCGTGTGTATGTGACCCCCTTCCTCTAGTGTGTCTCCTTCTCATGCCCCTCCACCCACCCCCTCGCTTTGCCTCACCCTGCCTTTTCCTGCGCGCAGGGGGCTGGGCCACGGTGCTTTCGGGGAGGTGTATGAAGGTCAGGTGTCTGGAGCGCCCAGCGACCCGAGCCCCCTGCAAGTGGCTGTAAAGGTAAGAGGCGGCCCCACCTTGGGCCTGACCTTGGCCGGCAGTCTCTGTGGACCTCAGCTCTTGGCCGACAACCTCCTCCCACTGCAGCTCACAGTCTTCTCCTTCCCACCCTCCCCTTCTGCGCCCAGACGCTGCCGGAAGTGTGTTCTGAGCAGGACGAACTGGATTTCCTCATGGAGGCCCTGATTATCAGGTAACTAAAGCCACAGAGAGGCATCCGCACCCCTGCTAGACATTCCTGTCAGTCTCCAAGGGAAGCGGTGTTGTCCCCCAGCGCCCCCTTCCTCTCCCCAGGAGACTCCCTAAAATTCTTAACACATCTTACCGGAGGGAAATAGCCCCAGGTGGTTGTCCAAGAAAAATATCTCTGCGGCCTAATAACGGAGATATCACTCTGCCTTCAACGAGCACCCCTGTGTCATCCAGCGGGGTGCCCTCTTTTCTTAATGGCGCATGCTAGTTGTTGACAGGGGAAGACACACATTCACCCCAGGTGACTCTTCCACTTGGCCTTCACCAATCCAGCTCTCAGATCTTGTGGAAAGGAAGTGTCCCCCTAAGTTGAGGAAGGCCCCCGCACCCTGGTCCAGACCAGCTGGCTTGCGCCCTTCAGCATGTGTCTCTGGGGCCCCTCCCTAGAAATCTCAGTGCCCAGGGCCCCTGAGGGCATGTGCTCTGGCAGCAGATCGCCTTCAAGAGGACACAGGTGCTTGACCTTGATATCTTACCATGCTTATGGCCTCCTGTGTCACAGGAGAGCCTCAAATGTCCAGACAAAATGGGGTGGTTGGGGTTCCCGCCCCCCACCGTGTGGAAGTGGCAGGGGAATAAGGCCAGGACGGCCTATGAGGTGCCTATGGAGCGTAGATCCCAGAGGATGGGCCCCCTTGCTCTTAGGGTAACATATTTTCCGATTAGACATATAAGCCGTGATTACTGAATGCAACTCGGGAAGTGTAAGATGATATGGAAGGAGACCCAAAGCATCCCTTCTCTCTGTTGGCTGCTATCCCATCGCTACCGGATTTCAGTGAAGAGTGGTGTGGTCCTTCAGCTCTGCACGACTGTGCCCACAAGGAGAGCGCCGGCCCCACTGCCCTCTCCCCGTGTCCTAACAGGATCCCATTAACAAGAAGACCCAAATTGTAGGGCCTCGTGGCCAGACTCAGTCCCTCCCCATGACCACCCCCAGGGAATGTGCCCAGGGCCCTCTTCCTCACTCTCGTTCACATGCAGTCCCTGGAGGAAACAGTTCCTTCAGCTTCTCTGCTGACGGCTTCCACGAAGAGCTCCCCCATGAATCCTAGGCAGCAGTCCGTGCACTGATGCCCAAGCGCCTGGCTGCTCTCTCGCCCTCCCTCCTTCCCTCCGACCCCACTTCCTCACCAAGGACTGTGTGGCGTCCTCCTGCCTCCTGTCCAGTACTGAACCCCTGCCCAGCCTGCCCTCTGCTTCTTCTGCCTGCTGAGTGGTGAGATGCCCCCCAGCCTAGGCTCTTTGTGGGATCCCTACTACCCACACTTACATAACGCGGTTGCAGAAAACAGAAGTTGGTTTCCCGCTTTTCCTGCTTAAGATTTGCCCAGACTCAGCTCAGTTAAATGTGGTCACTCCCCCTCTGCTCTGCAGCAAATTCAACCACCAGAACATCGTGCGCTGCATTGGGGTGAGTCTGCAAGCCCTACCCCGCTTCATCCTGCTGGAACTCATGGCAGGAGGAGACCTCAAGTCCTTCCTCCGGGAGACCCGCCCTCGCCCGGTGAGTGAGGCCCAGTGTTACCCTCGTGGTTGTGCCAGGGAATGGAGCAGAGGCCGGGAGGAGTGAGAGTGGGCAGCCCAAGGAGCCACACCCTCAGTGAGAGGGGAGTCGGCCCTGGGACTTGGATCTGGTGGAACAGCCGAGAGAGAGGGGACAGAAGGGGGACACCGGCTGAGCCCATCCTGGGGAGCTTGAGCCGGGCTTGTGCAAGGGTTCCTCCCGCCCGAATCCACTTTTGTGGCCTGCTGATTCCAAGAATTAGGGACAAGCACAGAGGGGACTCTCATGCTGGCTATGTCATTCGCTCAGCTGACTTGGGGACCGGGCATTCTATGTCTACTCATTCTGAACCCCACTAGCTTCATCTCTTAAGTGGGGACATCCTGACCTTGTAGATTTCCTGTCAAAATAAAATACTGAAATATTTATGAAGGTTCTGCATGTGTGTCATGATCAAGGGGCTGAAGCTTGGGGGAGCCAAGAAACCTAGGTAGACCCAGGAATGGGTCACCCGCCAGCCCTGACTGGCCATTAGACAACCATGTGGCTTCAGACTGTGAGCGCTCTAATCTCAGGACCGACAGTGTGAAATCCAAGGGCTGGACTGGACCATCCCGGAGATGGTTCTAAACTCTAAGACGTAGCCCACAGGATGTACCCTGAGTCTAGCTGCCCACTCCTGTCTCTGCTGGGGTCTTCAGGAGGCCTTGAGCATCAGGAACTGGAGCAGAGCCGATCCCCGAGCCAGAACCTCAGCTGCTAGACCGTGACGACCACAGGGAAGACTGCCACTCTCCCCACCCCCAGGAAAGCCGAGCAAGAAGATAGCGGCTTTGCTGCAGAAAGCTCAGAACTGAACACAGTGTTTTCAGGGACTTGGCCTGGAGGCCGAAACCTTGAAAGGACACACCTGCCCTCATCCCCACTGTCAATCAGACTGAAGTTAGGATCCCTAAGCCCTGGGAGCCTCCACGTGACCGCTCAGCCTCTGAGAAGAAACCGGTCTAACTCCCTGCAAAGATGAGCCTGTGCAGCTGTCACAGCTGGCAGGAGGCCAAAGGGAGGAGCGAGCAAGACCAGCCCAGTCTCGTGATAAACGTCATCAGCATTACCTTCATCTTCCTCATGGTGGCCACATTTCTGAAAACCCCTCTGTGCAGTAGATGGCGTAGCTCTCACCTTAACTTCACAAGTAAGAACACTGTGACTCAGAGAGGTTAGGTGACTTGCTGAGGCCACCCAGGAAGCAGAAGAGCCGAGACGAGAACTCAGAGCTTGGGACGCCTGAATTAGGGCTCACTCCAGCCTACCATCTGCTTATCCCAACGATCCTCTTCGGGAAGCCAAGGACTACCAAGATGAGGTTGGGTCACTGAGTACCCATACAGCCTGCTGTGCCAGCATCTGTGCCGGGTATGGACACCAGCCTCAAAGACCTTCCCACCACCACTCAGCAAGGCAAGGCCTTCAGCTCTTGTGCCCTGAGATTCTCAGTAGTGCTTCTGGCTTAGGTCAAATAAAGACACATGGCATCACACTTTGGAAAGAGACCTAGCTCTAGTTTTCCTCCTGGACACTCCCGAGGCTTGAGAAGGCAATATTGTGCACGCAAAGGACAGACTTGCTTGTACAGGGGACCTGGGACCCCGTCACTTGGCAAGACCAAGGACGTGGGCAGTGGGGGTGGAACTTCCCTCTCTCTTGCAAGCAAAAGCATCTCTCTCTTGTGATGATAAAGATGATTGGGGTATTGCCCCAAAGAGCAAAGTACCAGCAAGGAAAGGCAGATCATTCCCACCTCACCACCTCCTACCCCTGCTCCACCCTAAGGAGCCTGAGGCCAGGTTGTGATCTCTCAGGGCAGGCGTTGCCCAGGGGATGGAGATGCCCACAGCCGGAAGCTGGTCGACTTTCCTTGGGAGAGCCGCTTCTGAGGGTCAGGATCCCACTCACCAAATCCACTCTTCTAACCCTTGACCCTACTTCCTCCATGTGGCTCTCCTTGCCAGCCACGCCCCCAAGTCCTGGTAGCGTCCCCACATCCTCCTCGCTTTCACACACACCCACCCATCCCAGGTGAGCTGGTCCTTCCCAAGGTGCCTCAAAAGAGGGGGTTTTATGTGTTGGATGATAGCTCCCCAGAGGGAGCCCTGGCATGTATCTGTGGCCACAGCTTCCCTGGGGGGTTGGGAGATTTGCTGGGCATTGGGCACGGATTCTTAGAGCCACAAAAGCCAGCTTAGCCGGGTAGGGACTGGGTTGACTGTAAGAAAGGAATATCCAGTGTCATGGGCAGGGGGCGCTGTACCGGTAACACTCATGGGGTGAAGGATGGAGGGACTGGCCAGTGAACATGGCTGCTGGAGAAGTACACACCAAAAGACAGTGGGTAGAGCTGTGACGTTCTTTTGGATTCCAAGGCCTGAGTTCTCCCTGGTCCATTTGTTTGAACCCCCTGAGACTCTCAAGTCTTCCCTGAGACCTGCTGTGTGCAGGTGCTTGGCTGGGCATTCGGAGTCAGACAAGGTCTTGGTCCTCTCTTCCTGCCATCCCTCGGGTCCAGCAGCTGCACAGACTATCAGAACTGAAGGACCTCTGGCTTCAGACAACAGGTGTGCGGACACGAAGTGACAGAACCAATATGTACAGGGGCAATGGGACAGGACAGATGCTCCAGCCAACCCCGTCCGTCATGGAAACAAAATTCATAAAAACCTCATTTGGTCCCAGGACCCCACCTTCTCGAGAAGGAAAGAGTCATGTCAAAATAATTTTACAGACCCAATCTTTATTCAACAAATATTTATTGAGGGTTTAAGATACGCCTGATACAGGCTAATAGCCGTCTTTGGTATCCGTTGATTCAATCAATAATGACAGAAGCCATTAAGGGGTCACTAACCTCTCAATTAAAGGCAGCAGTCATTAACCACAACAGCGTCTGTACCTATTTGGAACATGGCAATGCCCATGGGTGGCGGCTCTGAGAAGATGCTCCAGCCACAGGAGGCTCCTGGATCCCAGAGATCACAGTGTGCAGGGGAGAGCCTCGGCTTTGGGCTCTAAGGTTGCCAGACCAGTTCTGGCTCCAAAACGCATTTGGGGATTTGGTGCCGGTGAAAAGTCAAGCCATATCAGGAGCCAGGAAATACGAGGCCCCAGCAGCAGGAACTTCTCATCCTTTCTGGCAATGCTGCTTTTTGTACCTGCTTCTTCCTTTCACCTTTCTCTCTTGCTCTTATATGCATAGATTTGAAATAAATCCCTATCCTGGGTGCTCCTGGCTGGCTCAGTCAGTGAAACATCTGACTCTTGGTTTCGGTTCATGATCTTAAGGTCCTGAGATCGAGCCCCGTGTTGGGCTCTATGCTCAGCAGGGAATCTGCTTGAGATTCTCTCTCTCTCTCCCTCTCCCTCTGCCCCTCCCCTGCTCGCTCACTCTCTCTCTAAAATAAATAAGTGAATCTTTAAAATACATCCCTATTCTGTTTTTCATTGGTGAAAGAGTTCCTAACCCCTGTCCTGTGATTCTTCCCCTCTAAATAGCCCAGGAGCAGCTACTTTAGGAATGAACAGATACCAATATTATCCTGCATTTTATTAGTATATATGTTACCCTTTGGGAAAAGCCCCTCAGAAGCTGTAACCAAAGAAATCATTCTTCTTCACTGGGCCCGTTTTCTCACTTGTAAAAGTAGGCTCTTGGTCTAAACAGCATCCCTGAAGGGAACACCGGAGCCCCGAGGAGCTACTTGCTCACATGCGTGCTTAAAGGAATGCCGTGGTCAGACACGCGTGGTCAGAGAGCCTTGCTGTCCTATTGATTTGCAGTGGACATCAGTGTCAAGCAGAGACGGATAATTCCTGCACTCAGGGAACCGATCTGACCCAGGAATTCCCAGGCCTGTTTGATCAAATTCCATCCCTCAAGCCTGCCTTGGGAAATACTGAGCAAAATCCTCTCTGAGTACCGGACGAGGTCTGTGTCCATGACCATGGCTGCCCAAAGAATGGACGGCTGCCGAAGGAAGTGCCACACTGAGTGGCAAATTGCTGAAACAAAGCAAAACAAAACAAACAAACAAACAAAAACAACAAAAAACCCTGATTCCAACTCCTTCTTTGCCCAGGATTGATACAAATGCCATTGGACACAAGAGCTGTGCTCTGCATTGCTGGTTTATCAGTTTGACACAACATCTAAACCTTCCCCAGTTCTCCCCCAGATACACACACTCACACACACACACGCACACACGCACACACACGCACAGCTTGCCAGCTACCCGCTTCTGTGCCGACTGATTAGTGGAGCAGTTAATTTGCTCTGAGCCGCCGAAGACAGGGAGCTCAGATAAACCTGGCCCATGGGTTAATGCCTGGGAAGATTTAGTCCCTGCAGCAGCCCAGGCATTCAGACATCAATGGTCCTTGCTTCCTGAGTGATGGGGGCTAAGACACAAAGACACTCAGGGGAAGCTATGGCTCGTCCTCTCTTAGAGGAACAGAGCATTTTCCTGGAGAGAGAGAGAGAGAAGATATTTCTAATACTATAGCAAAAAGGATTAATATTTCCCTTGGAAATGTATTACTTTTTCACCCCCAGGAGACGGGTACTCTCTCCCAGTGCCCAGGGGTTCTGACCCTAATCAGGCCCTTAGAAAAGCCAGACACAGGGGCCGTTTGCTGAGACTACTGTGGTCCTCCAGGCAGCCCACCGTGACTGCAGACCCCTTCATGAAGGATTCACTCTGGGCCTCTTGCTGTGGATCCTTGTAACAATCTAACAAGGGTGATAAGAACACGCCTCTTTCAAGGACAGGGATACCGGCTTGGAGAGACGCAAAGCAATTTGTCCCAGGCCACGCAGTGAGTAGAGGATGAGCAGAGATGAAGCCCAGGTCAGCCCAATTGGCCACTGAACTACGTTGCTACTGCATTTGTGGGCCATGTTCTGAGTCGGCTGTACTCAGAATATGAGTACTCAGGCCGTACACAGTACTGTGCCCTGTCCCCATGGATTCTCCATCCCTCCTCGGACATGTTATCCTGAACAGCCCAGTTTTAACTCCTAGGATGCTGCCTCCCCCAACCCAGATCTTTAAAGCCCAGCTCCCTGCTATTGGCTCTGTGACCTGAAGGGAATCACTTAGCCTCTCTGAGCCCTCAGCCTTCTCCTCTTTAATATGGGGATACCCTCTCTTCCCCACAACCGCACAAGATGTTGCATCAAAGGAGGTCATGTGCATGGACTTGCTCTATTGCATATAAGGCACTGCCTGATGTTCCGTGGGCAGACAGCATTCCCTTGTCTAAGTTGTCTCCCCCAGAATCGAAGCACGCCCTAGAGCAGCTCACCTCCTCTCCGCCTCCCCCAGATCCATACTATTGCTCCAAGGAGTCCCAAGGAGGCCTAGATCTGGGGCAAAGAAAACTCCCAGCTGCCATCTGGGTAAATCATAGTTCAGCTGTCATCGACCAGCCCACCCCCTCAGTGTTCCCTGAACTGCCGCCATGTGCTGAGTGTCATGCTGGGTACCGGGAAGTGGACACTGAAATCCCCACTCGGGGACCTCACAGTTTACTGTGACTTTTGCAACAGCAAAGTGAATGTGACACAGAGTGATAGCAGGCTGCTGCAGACTTTGGGGGTTTTAAGAAGGGCTGTAGCCTTCTGGAAAGCCTGCTAGGAGCCCAGCAAGGCTGCAGAGGAAGCCGGGATGAGCTGCACCCCGGGGGTGGGGTGATCTCTCCTTTTGCACAAGAGACTTCATGTAGAAACGCTTGATGTCGCTCTTCACCTGCCCAGCATTTCCTGAAAACGTCTCTTTGTCAGTCCACTTTAGATCTACAACTGCTTGAAGAAGATTATCTCTTTAAACATTTTAAAACATTAAAACAGAACACTTTAAAAAAAGAAACACTTATCTCCCTTGATTTCTTCGCAGGTTTGTTTGTAAGTTCGGGAGGTTTGAGTGTTTGTGGAGATTGAGGTGGAAGAACGAGCAAAATACACGGAAAGGGGGAGGGACACCTGCCCCATCCTGGGTTGCTCTCAGCCCGGGGCACGTTGCACGGACCTTGGGGGCTGTGAACTTGCAAACACTATGCACCCCCCAGAGAGGTGGGTTCGTTGGTCTGGGTCGAACCCCGGGCATGTGTGTTGAGAGCCGCTGCGTGATTTCCGAGGTGTGGCCGGGGCTGAGACCCAGCGGGGCGGGGCGTCCCTGTTTGCTCCTTGTCAGCTCTTAAAGCCCACGTTGCAGATCTGCTCTGCCCATGAACTTCTGGTCAGTGGATCGCTTCTGTCTCTCCCACAGAACCAGCCCTCCTCCCTGGCCATGCTGGACCTTCTGCATGTGGCTCGGGACATCGCCTGTGGCTGTCAGTATTTGGAGGAAAATCACTTCATCCACCGGTGAGTCAAAGCGACCTTGTTCATCCCTCTGCCTTCTGTGTGCTGCCCTGCGTGTCTCCAGGGTTCAGGTCCGCCCCCTGCAGAGTACAATGGCAGGTCTCTCTCGACTTGTCTGGATGACTCAACTTCGCCAGTCTTTAAGATAATTACTGACCCCATCAGGGCTTCATTTACCCCATATGAAAAATGGGTATCATAAAATATCAGTCCCAGAGCTGGAGATGAGACGAGCTGTTCTTGACCTTGTGTGGGGATTCCCGCCTGCACCTTGCAGTCCGCTATCGCTTTAACGTTTTCCCCGTCTAGAAAACCAAGCTCCTTAAGGGCAGTTAGAGGAGCTCCTATTTTCACCTATTTGACTATGGGTGACTCGAAGGCAGTTTTATGTCTCTTCATACCCCTGTTACATCGCAGGGCACAATTAATGTCTGTTGGATACAGTTTTATTTCTCTTCATACCCGTGTTACATCACAGAGCACAATTAATGTCTCTTGGATACAGTAATTTTTTTCTAAAATACTCTGAAATGAAGCATGACCATTTTTTTCTTGCTTCCATACTTCATTTCCTCTATTCTATAGGACACTTATGTTTAAATGGCGTTTGATTAGGACATCAAATCCACGTGTGATGCTCTAGACATGATAGATAATACATATTTCTTTCCATGTGGATGTTGATGACTTTCTCAGCTGACACCTTGATTCTGAAATCTGAGAAGTCAAATAGATTGTTAGGCTCTTTGCAAAGCTCTCCCTAATGATATGCTTCTCAGTTAGTAAATACGAGCCTGGTGAATGAACAATCACTTTTTAGCGCATGTCTTCAAAGACTATAAGACATGTTCAAAATAATTAGAATATGTAAGTACAAAGCAGGAAATGAGAGAAGCTGTGTGAGTTCAGAAATGGAAAAAGCACGTAAGCAGATAGCAAGCTATGCTTTCTGCCCCAATAAAAATGGAGAAATTAAAGATCAAGGAGGGCACTCGCCTGGGCTCCTGAAGTTCCTAAAACCAGGAAATAAACGTTCACACCAGCATATCCTTCCACAGTCACTCCATCCCTTCGGTCTTCAGATCTTCCTCTTGATTCTAACTCTGTCCAACTCGCAGGTCTTCTGCTTAATAGAAACAACAGGAGTGAAAAAGGAGCTGGGACCAGTCCTTTAGGTTCTCCTCCAAAGCCACGCCCTCTGCCTCAAAGCAAGGGCAGCCCTGCCATTGTTCTTGCCCTTTCTGTGGTGCCCAGAACTTTCCATAAATCTCAGCTCTGGGCTTTATTGCTGCTCAGACAGGACAAGGTGTGGTCTTCTTGGGATTCATTCTTGGCTAAAGCCATCTTTCCACCTGTTGTCTGTGTCCTCTAAGTCTGGACTCACTGGAGAGCAAGCTGGGCGGTCACCTTGGTGACTCTGGCCACCTGCCTTCCCTTCTCCCCGAGATCATTTCTGCTTTCTCATCCCTACCCCATGTTCATCACCAAGCATTCAGATTCTCCAGCTGAGGGAATCACGTTCTTCTTTCCTCTTGACATTTTAAAACCTGCTTTCCTGAAGACATGAGACATGTCAACTACATCCGGTGCTTTCTTCTTATAAATGATGAGAAAACAGGATCGCAGTCACTCCAGGTTCTTACCACTTCCACATCTGTACATAGTTACCGAAGGTCAGAACTGCATCCCAGATCATCCCAATCATCTATTGCTACTTTTATCTTTTTTGAGAAGTGAAATTGTCAAAGACCAAATCAGGAATGTAGGATCTGCAAAGAGGATCTGCTTTATAAGCAAAAGGCAACATGGAACAGAACTTGTCCATCCCAAAACACAGCTTTTCTTCTGGGCTAACTGGCATTAGAAAAACATCTTTCACACCTCCTCACTGGCCACGAGCTCTGTGAATGCACTCTCACGGCACTGGGGCCTCTCATGCTCCCTCCTCCACCAATGTCCGCCACAAGATTCTCATAGGTTCCCGTGCGTGCACATCTCCGGAATTCAGAGCAGAACTCCTTTCCCAGATGCACAGGCTCCCATTTTTCTATTAGATCTGTTTCCTCTGGACATGGTTTATTGCCATTTCAAGAATTATGGGTTGTTCTACCAATTCTTGGTGTGTTCTCTGATATCACGTTCACTTTTTTGCCATTAAATTCAAGATCACTTCTTTAAGCAAACATTTCATGCACATCAGCGTAAAGACCTTCCTGGAGATATAAATATTGTTTCTGGTCTATTTCAGAGCATTTCTCTTGAGAAATGATGGCTATATATCCTACTATTTTTCTTCTTTTTGATGTCATATATGTTATGCTTTCATAGTTTTATTAGGGCATTTTATGCACCATTGGTCCTCAAAATTCAGCTGAAACCCTCTGTATCAAGTCGGTGGTATTAACACCAATTTCCCTCTCTGCCCAACTCTTCTGGTATCTTAAGTGCCCTAATGACCTCCCAGTCCAGATCCTATTTCTTTTCCCCATGTCCTCATTTCTCTACCAAAGATCAGGACCTTTGGGAAACTGATGAAAATAGGAAAATGCTACCTGTACTCCCTAAGAAATACTTTTTTTCTGCCCAGGTCCTCAATATTATTAGAGACTTTCTCTAGACTTTCCAGACTTTCTCTAGATGCATCCTTCATTCTCACATGCATGTCAAGAATGGGTAAGCCGTTGATGAGTGGATGTGTCTGGAGAGTTTTGATCATGCCTTCCAGGCATGCTACAGGAAAATAGGCCATCTGGAGTGCAACGGCAAAGAAGACATGATAACTTTATGACTTGAAAGAAATGATTCCTCGGCCCCAGAGCTATGATGCATACAGCTTAGCAAAGGCATTAGTGAAAATCATGGATGTAAGAACAATAGTAGCTTATTTAAAAAGAAAACCAGAATTACTGGGGAATACTATGACCTGCTTGAACTTGGTATCATGGAAGTCATGCTCTCCCAGAACACTCTCCCAGGCAACTGGCAGAAACCAACAGCCGTCTGCACAAAACAATAACCTGGGCCAAATGGCATTTCTTATGTCCCTATACGATCTTCTTTTAACTTAAGTTTTTTAATAGAACGAGAACAGTGCCCTGTATCTTCTAGGGTTGTTGTGATAATCACCTAGGAAGCACTTAGAACAATGCTTAGTACAGAGTAAAAGGCCAATAAATTCTAGTTCCTATTATCATTACTTTCATTATTATTATCCCATTAAACATTTTCAATCATCTCCCCAAATCCGTTTCCACTCGCCTGTTAATTCTGAGGGCTAGAATGGCTCTAGCTATTTCTCTCATACTGGAGTGTAGTGTAGTAAAGGCAAGAGAGGCCACTACTTGAACTTGAGATTGGAGGTGAAAATCCCTGTGATGAATATTACCTGTGTATCTTCCCAGAAATAAAATTGGGAAGTGCATTGTGTCTTTCCTTTTTTTCTTCCCAGGGACATTGCTGCCAGAAACTGCCTCTTGACCTGTCCAGGTCCCGGCAGAGTGGCCAAGATCGGAGATTTTGGAATGGCCCGGGACATCTACAGGTGAGCAACGATGGCGGTTACCCATCAAAGCCCCGTCCCCTCGAGAGAGAATGGGACGTGGCTGCCTATGCCCTAAGTCATCTCTGGTACCGTCCATTGGCCACCTAACATTTCCTTAAGGCCTTTTCTAGGACATATGGCACCTCAGCTAGTGCACGTGCCTGGTGTGATCCTAATTCTGGGATCACACTGGCTGCCCTCACTGACACCATGTTCTTAAGGAGATCATCTTTCTGGTTCCAACTCTCTAATCCCAGAATGTTCTCAGGCACAGAATAACCCAGATACCTGATATGGAGAAAAATCTCAGTAAGGTTTTACTTCACCCCTCTCCTCAATACTCGGGAATTCTAAGTGGACTTGGCTTCCATCACTCCAGACAGGAGCACCCCGGAACTGACAGCAGAACGGCCGGCTGCCCAGTCTCCTCTACCTACCCCGGGAGCTGCGGGACGGGGGTTCCGAGCCCGTAGCTAAGCTTCCTCTCTTCATCCCTGTCATAGTCTCAAGGGCACGTTAAAAAATAAAATAATTTTTCTAATTAAAAAGAAAGCTCTTCTGCTGTCCTTTACCTTACGCTTCTCTCCCCAACCCCTTGTTTCATTTTCAGCTGATTACTTATGAGCGTGACTGGCTGTGTGAACTAAGCAAGTCACTCCTTAGCATGGTCACTGACTACGCACCCCCCAGTCCAGGGGTGGAGCGAGGAGAGATGGTCACAGAGAGCTTTCACTCTTTGGAGAGTGCAGGGGACCCCCAAAGTCCCTTGGTCCCCCGTAGAACTGGTAGCGATCAACACGGGAGGGAATGCTGACGGCACCCCGTTCCTGTAGGGTAGCAGCGCGGGGAGGATCGGGGGCTCTGCTCTCCCTTCTCTTTACCTCTCAGAGGCTCCACATCCCTCCCCTTCCTTCTCAGAATAGCCAGGATTCCCCTCCGTTCAACAGACGAAAGTTGCAGCAAGTTGACTTAGCAAGCGAGCCCTTCCCCTCCATCTTCAGCTCTGACGGCTCTCCTGCGCTAGCTTCACCACCCCAGCTGGCCCACGGCCCCACTGTTCCCACACACGTGTGTGATGTCATGTGTCAGGAATGGTCTTCCAGAGAGTTCCTCACCATTCAGCTCCCTTGGCCCCCGTCTGTGACGCTCTTCCTGTCTCACCACTGCCTCTGTGTCCCTGAGCTTCGCACACACCTCCATCACCATACGTGTTCGTCTCCACTGCAGGTGTCTGTGTGTCTGTTGCTCCCACTCCACGCTGGGGCGAGAGAAACTGTGACTTATTCATGTCCTCAGCACTCAGCAGAGTAAACACTCAGTCCAGGGGTCCCCCTTGATCCGCAGTTTCCCTTTCCCCAGTTTCAGTTTTCATGGTCAACAGTGTGGTCTGAAGGCAGGTGACCCTCCTTCTGACATACCATCAGCAGGTCAGGAGTCACCTAACTTCCTGTCCCAATGCCTGCGTCACTGGGCTCACCCCATCCCCTCACACAGGCTTGTTATCATCTTACATCAACCCAAGAAGTGGGGTGAGGACAGGACGGGAAGATACTTTGAGAAAGAGAGATGCCCCATTCACATTTCTATCACTGTACTGTTATAACTGTTCTGTAGTATTAATAGTGTTCGTTATTAATCTCTCCCTGAGCCTAATGTATAAATCAAACTTTATCATAGGCATGTACGTAGGAGAAAATCCGGGGACCTGTAAGATCTGGTACTATCTGTGGCTTCAGGCATCCACTGGCGGTCTTGGGAGGATATCTCCCATGGATGAGGGGAGACCATTGTCCATGTTTGTTGAAGTCGTTACTCCGGGCGGCTGGTGGGAGTAACACCCCAACAGGAGAACGCAGGGCCATGGGTGAAGCTGGCTTCAAAGGCGTGAGCTAACTTACTAGTTTTTGTTAGTGATGTCGTCAACGCAGCTCATGATAAAAACTGTTCTGTCACCTCACAACTTGGGAGGCAGCTCTGCCACCGGCCCTGTGTTCTCGGCTGGGGTGTGCTGGGGGGAGGCAGCGTCCCTCTGGCTCCCCAGATTATTTGCTGAGCTCCGCTATTGAAAGAAACGTCACACAAGTCCCACGGAGGATCCAAAGCAGACAAGACACAGGCCCTGCTCTCAGTCCCCCCAGGTTGGATCTTCCATGACTGTGGGCCTCGGGCCCCAGGTGGAGTACTGTTAGTCCTTGTGAGCTAGAACACACGAAACCCATCCAGGGAAACGCGCCCATCTGCTACCGGATACTCTAGTCATTGCAGTGGGCCACTTCCTGTTCAATGACACCAGAGTTCTCCCCTTCATTTTCAACGACCCGTGTGCCCCTCCTCTCCTCCCGAGCCCCGAGAACCCCTCAGTCATCTCAGTCTTGGCATGGCCACAGCCCGTGGTCGCCTGGCAGAGCTCCCACTCAGAGCCTCCCTCCGGGACCAAGCGTGGGTCTCCTCTTCTCCCCACAGAGCCAGCTACTACCGGAAAGGAGGCTGCGCCATGCTGCCCGTCAAGTGGATGCCTCCAGAGGCCTTCATGGAAGGAATATTTACTTCCAAAACGGACACATGGTGAGTCTTTGCACGGCCGTCCTGCGGGTCTCGCCGTGGGCCTCACGCTAGTGCTCCCGAGCAAGTGCTCCCACGCTGTCTCACGGGGAAGGGGCAGAGGAGACGCGTCCATGCACCTCTGCACAGGGGCTGTCGGAGGCGGGCGAGGATCCGAACCCACAGAAAGGCCTGTGGGGCACAGGTTACTCCCCCCACCCTGAGGGCCCAGGCATCGCCGAGACTCTGCCTTGCTGACCAGTGTCCTGGTGACGCCGAGCCCCCTCGCCGGGGACCACGCGTGGAGAGACACGGGATTTGGGTTTTTTTCTCCTAACTCCAAAGTTGGGTTTATTCCAGGAAGGCAACGTTGAGGTAATATTAGAAAAATTGATCAATGACATTCTCTCCACCAACAGAAAAAAGGAGAAAATAATTATCAGCACAAAAGTGCTGTAGGCTTAGGGGGGTCGAGACCCATTCTATAGGTAAAACTGCGAGTGGAAAACACCGCACGTGAGCTCTCCAGAACTTCCTCGTCCTGCACAGCTGACACTTTGTGCTCCCAGACCAACACCTCCCCACGTTCTCCTTCCTCCTGCCCATGCAACCTCCATCCCACCCTCCGCTTCTCTGATGCCGCCTCGAGGGGACAGCCTGCAGCAGGTGTCTCTCTGTGCCTCACTTGGTCACTCAACATCAGGACCTCCAGGTTCATCTACATTGTCTCAAACGGCAGAATCTTCTTCTCTTTGAAGGCTGAATAATATTCCGTGGTTTATACACACGCCACGTTTTCTTTATCCATCATCTGCCGGTGGGTATTTAGGCGGCTTCCACACGTCGGCTGTGCGAGTATCCCTGCAGTGAACTCGGGACTGCAGATCTCTCTTCGAGATACGGGCTCTCTTTCCACTGGCTGTAGACCCAGAAATGGGATACCTGGACTGTAAGATAGTTCTGTTTCTACTGTTTTGAGGAAATCTCCATGCTTTTTTATATTTTACACTCTATGAGAGCAACACAGAATTTGAAATGGCAGATTAAATCAGTGCTATCTACCAAATACACATGTATGTGTGCACACACGTGCACACGCACCCACACGCACACGCACACACACCCTCACGCATGCACACACCCACACGCACACATGCTCACTCACCCGCATGTGCACCCAGGTGAACACGCACGCATGCACACACAAGCACACGTCCATACACACACGCATACACATGCACACAACTTGTATGAAAACCCACAAGGACAAAAATGACAACAATGACAAAAACTTGGAAACTGGGTGTTACCTTACTTAGGAAACCGGAACGTTATATTGAGGTCCAGAAACAACCTGGTTCACGCTGCACAAAATCCCAGAAAGGCCCAGAAGCTGAAGGTGCCAGGCACCCCCGGCCGCAGAGAGCAGCAGACAGGAAACTCAGTTACAGGCATGTCTAAAAAGTAAGCAGATCCTTGGCCCATTCCCTCACCCCCATCTCTCCCCTACCGTCGCACAAAACCAGGGATTCCCTCTGCGAAGAGATGGAGTTAAAGCCTTTCTGGTCTTGGGCACATCAAGACATCACTGAGGATGAATCTCTGTTAGAAACAGGGATACATGTTTTTTAAAAAATAGGGCTCTGCAGACACCATGATTTTATCCCAGGATACTGTGCTGATTTTGGACGTCTGGCCTCCAGAGCTGGGAGAAACCAAACTCCTGTGGTCTCGAGCCAACAAGTGTGTGGCGGTTTGTTACAGCAGCCACAAGAGACTGATACTCCCCAGGAAACGCACAAGCCAGCTGGCCCCCAAGGGACAGGATCCACAAGAGCTTCCCATCGGCTTTGCACTGTCCCAGTCATAAAATACGAACAGCCAGCCAAGAACCCACGAAGACTTGAGAGAAGAGTCTAATCTGAAGGAAACAAACATGTAAAGAGGGAACTTGGAGGAAGAAAAATACAAAGCTTAGGAAAACTTGTAAAAACCCTAATATCCTCAGAAAGATAAATTATTGCAACCATAATCTAAGGATGAAAGATTTTTTAAAACAAGGTTTTTAGAGAAAAGAGTTCTTAGAAAGTAAAAATAGAGAGTGCTCAAGGAGATGGCGCATTAGTCTCCTAAAGCTTGTGTGATTGCACACAGCAACGTCAGGTCAGGTGATCAAGGTCAATGTCAACAGTGATTGATTTCGTTGATAGCTTGTGCCCTTGATATGATATGATGAAAATGACATATAACCTCTGTGGTCTTTCTCCCCACACCCAATAACTCTCGTCTAATCATAAGAGAAGCAGACAAATCCCAGGTGGACGTTCTACTAAAGCCCAGACCAATACTCCTCAAAACTGTCAAGGTCGTCAAAACTAAGAAAACCCTGAGAAGTTGTCACAGTCAAGAAGAGCCTAAGGAAACATGACAACTATGTATAATGTGATATTCTAACGGGGTCCTGGAACAGAAAAAGTAAATTCAGCAAAAGCTAAGGAAATCTGAATAAACTGCAAGTTTTAGTTAATAATGATCCCTTAATATTGGCTCATTAATTGTAACAAATGTACCATATGAATGTAAGACGCTAAAAGTAGGGAAAACTGGATGTGGAGTATGTGGGAACTCTGTGTATTATCTGCTTCATTTATTTACAATCTAAAACTGTCCTCAAGAAATTTATTTTTTTACTATGATGATAGATATGTAAAAGTAACAGAAAGCTCGGAAGACGAAGTTGAATAAATCATCGAGAAAATAAAACAACTAGGGGCTCCTGGGTGGCTCAGTTGGTTAAGCATCTGCCGTCAGCTCAGGTCATGATTCCAGGGTCCTAGGATCGAGCCCTGTGTGAGGCTCTCTCCTCTGCTTCCCCCTCTGCCTCCGCCTGCCCCTTCCCCTGCTTGTGCACTCGCTTGCACTCTCTCTCTCTCTCTCTCTCTGTGTCAAATAAATAAAATCTTAAGAAGAAGGAGGAGGAGGAAGCAAATATAAGCAAATGCGATATATAGGAAAGAAAGGAAGAGAAAATTAAGAGGATTAGACAATTAGGTCCAATTAGCTGACAAATAGGAATCCCAAAAAGAATGTACAGAAGAAATGAAGGGAATAAAGACATCAAAGAAATAATTCAAGAAGATTTTCCAGAACAGAAAAGCATACATGTTCAGAACGAAAGCATCCACCAAGTGCCAAGGTCAGTGGATCAAAAGAGCCACATGAAAGCATGTCATCGTGAAATTTCAGACCGATGGTGATCATGATTCTGTAAGCTTCTAAGGAGGAAAAGAAAATAATTGTAGTAAAATATGGTCAGAGATAAAAACAGAGAGTCCAAATGGCATCGAATTTCTCAACAGCAACACAGGAAACCAAGAAGACAATGAACGAAAGTCCCCAGATTGTGAAAGCCTGTGTGGAAGTAACATCACGAAATGGCGGAGCCACAGTGATCGGAACCCCGTCTCTGACCCGAGTTTGTCCATGTGAGCAGGAGCCTTTGTTGTTTTAAGTTGCTGAGATCTGACTTACCCAAACCCGGTGGATCTCTGTGTGGTCCTCGGATCAACAGCACCGGTATCACGTGGAATGTGTTAGAAACGCAGGTTCTTAGCCCCTACCTCACACCTAATGGAATAGGAAGTCTAGGGGTGGGGCCCTGGAATCTGTATTTTAAGGAGCCCTCCAGGTGATTCCATGTGCACCAAAGTTAGGGCACCACCAGCTGCCCTATCCAGATGCAGAGAATAAGTTAGGTAATTAGGTAATTGTTCTGAGCACTTGTCTCTCCTATGAGCCAGGAATCCTACTTCCAACTGTCTACATTAGACGGACGTTGACAAAAATGGACTCGGGCAAGGATGCTCCCTTGCAACGTGGTTTGTAATAGAGGAAAAGCACAAACCATCCTACGTATCCCTCAAATGGGGAATGGAAAATAAACTGTGGTTTACTGATATCACGGGAAAGTCCCTAGCAGTGTAAAAAAGCACCCCAGACACCTGTATCAACACGGATAAATTTGTATGCAACCTTGGGTGGAAGAAAGACAAGTTCCAGAAGGGTAGAATATCATTATATATAATTTTAAATACAAAAACCAAGTCTATAATACAGATTCTTTACTGTTTATGCTTTCACACATTGTAAAAACTATGAAAACACAGATGGGAAGGCTGCATTCTAACTTCAGTGGGGGAAGGGGAGAAAGGAAGGAGGAGAGGAGGGAGGATGGGACTTTACTATATCTATCTTATTTCTTCCAAAAGAAAAGGAGACTGGGCATCTCAGTACCTAAATATCTATCAAATTACATTTTCTTTTAAAAGTTTAGATTGTTTCCTAATTATTTCCTAATTAAAACACTTAAAGACACAGGTAAATTGCATAACCTCAGATACTGATGAGGGCCAGTGAGACAAAAAAGCAGACGATCAAGAGTGGAGGGGTGGAGGGGCCCCGGGAGGGAAGCTGCTTGATACAGATGGCGGGGAAGGCTCCATGGAGGAGGTGACAGTCCAATGCCTGAATGGCAGAAAGATGGAAAGATCTGGAAGATCTTTCCAGGCTGAGGAGGAAGCCAAGTATAAAACGCCAGTGGCAGGAACAAGATGACTGTGTTTGAGGAATGAAAACGAGTCTTCACGGCTGGAGCTAGTGAGCACGGGGGCCAGTGGTAGGTGAGTGAAAAGGGCAGGCAGGGGCCAGATGTGGAGGGCCCTAGAAACGAAGTTGAGGGATGTGGGTTTTACTTAGCACACAACGGGATGTCCCCTGAAAGGCTGAAAGCCAGAGTTTGACAAGGTCTTTAAATATACATATATAATATCACTCCGGCTGCCAATGACGAGAGGCTGGAATGGGGTAGGGGAAGATGGGGAAATCCTACCCATGTCAAGATAAGAGAACAGAGAGGCTAGGCTTAGTGGTGGGGGGAGTGTGGGGGGTTATTAGCAGTGGCGGGATTCAAGCTCTGCCTTGAAGGTGGCTGACAGGGCTGATGAAAGTCAGCCGTGGAGTGGGAGGTGTGGAAAGCGTGAGATCAAGGGCAACGTTGCCATCACTGGACAGAACGGAGCGGGTGGGTCGGGTGTGGAAAGAGCTTTTGCGCAAGTCCAGTATGAGATGCCTGTAAGACTGGCCAGTGGAGACGTTGAGTGGACTTACGCTCCAGGGGAGTGGAAGAAGTGGAATCAGCAGGCTGGATATTTAAATACAACACAAGCTTTTTTTTTTTCTCTAAGTGTAGCTGACCTGTAGTGCACAACATAGAGATTGCACAAGTCGACACATGACGCTGAGCTCCCACAACCTGGCCGCCGTCTCTCGCCGTAGAGCCCTATTACAATACCATCAACCTACTTTTCCCTCTGCCCTACCTCCATCCCCGAGACTTACTCATTCTGTAACCGGAAGCCCATACATTTTTGACTCCCAGTTTTCCAAAAACTGTGCTCCGCCCTCTACCACACCTCAAGACAATCTTCCAGGTGTGAAGAGGGGAAAATAAAATGTAACTTTAAAAGACTAATAAGCATAGCACAACTCGTGGTTTTTAAAACCTTTTCATCCGATTAGCTTCATTGAAATTTTTAAAGTAATTTAGGCAGCAACCACTTAACCTGTTTCTACAATTTCAGGCAAAGCAAGTTTAATACCAAGAGCAGGAGAGTGGGATTTTTAAAAAAATATTTGTTTTTATTTGACTTTGAATGCTTCAGTGCAAAGCTGTGGGCCCTATTGCTCCTGATGAGGACAGGCTTATAGGTGATTAAAGAACCATCTGGCATACGAAACACACATTTACTTGATCTGTGAGGTTGCTAGACAAAATAAAAGATGACCAGATAAAATTGAATCTCAGATGAACAGTGCCTAATTTTTTAGTATAAGTACATCCCACACAATATTTAGGATATACTTATATTCTAAAAGCATTTCTTATTTGTCCTGAACAAATTTGCCTGGATGTCCTGTATGGTTATTTGCTAAAGCTAACAACTCTCCCTACCTGAAATTATCCAAGTTCTATGACCCGCACTACTTCTTGTCCCTTTGAACTTCAAACCAAGAAAATAAACATCTATTTGCCACCTATATGCTGGTTCTCTCAAAGGATACTACAATCTATTTCCTCTAGCTATCTAGACGGGCAGAAAACAGATATCTGGAATTCTTGAGGCCTTACTGCCAGGCCTTTGCATGATTTTTGCTTATTTTGTTTTGCCTTGGAGGAAAACAAACCACCAAGCAGAGAAAAATAATATATGTACCAGGCAACTTGTAGGTACCAGAGCCGAGGGATCTAATAACGTATTCCAGTCTGTTTCAGATTAATTGCATAATAACCTCTGCATCAGCTTTCTCACCTGAAAAATATGGAAAATATCTTTGCCCAATGCTCCTCACTAGAATCTTTGAAATTTCACCGAGCTGATGTGCTTTTTGTCCCTTTGGATATGGAGGAGCTGTAGTTCTCTCCAATTTTTGATAAAATATTTATTAACATCCAAAAACTACAACCAGATACAAAAACAAAGATAGATGTGCTTTTTTTTTTCCCCCAAAAAAGCTAATAATGTAATTAAAAGTTTAAAATAAAAATTTTAGGGGCACCTGGGTGGCTCAGTGGGTTGGGCCTCTGCCTTCAGCTCGGGTCATGATCTCAGGGTCCTGGGATCGGGCTCTCTGCTCAGTGGGGAGCCTGCTTCCCCTGCTTCCCCCGCCCCCCCACCTGACTCTCTGCCTACTTGTGATCTCTGTCTGTCAAATGGATAAATAAAATCTTAAAAAATAAATAAAAAATTTTAGTCAAAATATGAAAGGAGATGATTCTGAAACATATTTTAAAGTTCATTTAAAATGAATAACAAATGAGAATTCAACTGTATTTCTTTAAAAAGAGAAATAACCCAAAAAGTGCCTACCAGGTATTAAAACATAAATATACAAAAAAGTAACATAGAATGGTCTCAATGCAAGAAACAGACATAGGGACACCTGGGTGGCTCAGTCAGTTGAGCGTCTGCCTTTGGCTCAGGTCATGATCCCAGAGTCCTGGGATCGAGTCCCACATCAGGCTCCCTGCTCAGCAGAGAGCCTGCTTCTCCCCTCTCCCTGTGTTGTTCCCCTTTCTTGTGGGCACTCCTCTCTCTCTATCAAATAAATAAATAAAATCTTAAAAAAAAAAAAAGAAAAGAAAAGAAAAAAAATAAACATAGAGATGAAGTGAATAGAGAGCCCAGAAACCTGTTTTACACACAAGTCAATAGTAAGGGGGAAGTATTCTATGCATAGTGTTGGAAGAGCCATTGTTTGCAAAACAATTTAGAACACTTACCTCACACCATGCCCCAAACTAAGTTCTCCAATCCAGCTGAGGAGGAAGAGCAAATACAAGAAAACAGCAAATATTCATTTAATCTTTAGTGAAAGGAGGATTGCATAATCTGTAGAACAGATGAAGGAAATCACAAATTAAAGAAAAAATAGATTTGACTACCTAAACACAAAATCTTTGGTAGTTTTAGAAAGCCACTGATGGAAGTACTTCAATTTTGAATAAAGGTGAACTTCTCTGATAAAGTAGGTCTACAAATCAAGAAGAAATTTGATAAATACAAAACAGTATGTAGCTACAAATGGGCAAAAGATACAAACAATTCATGGAAGGGAAAAAAAGGAAGTCAATTAATAAATACTTGAGAAAACACTCAACTGTGTTAATTACCAAGTAGATATAATTTAAAAGGTTCTATCATTTTTTCCCTTAAGTTCTATCATTTTTTTTTTCCCTTAAAATCATTCCAAGTTGTCATTTTTGATGATACTCAATGTTGGTGACGGTCTGATGCTTTCACACGCAATGCTGGTCGCTTGTGATCAGAGTCACACTTGGAAGTGTGGCAGTGGACAATAGGTGTCAAGAATTTTTCGATGTTCATATTCTCTTGGTCTAGTAATTTGATTTGAATTATTCTAGATTTTACTAGGTTATCTTAATCCTAAATTTGAGGAGTTTGTCCTAAGAAAGTTGTCCTTTTAAAAAAACGCATCACGGATTTAAAAGATGGTCCTCAGTCTTTTAAATAATTTTAAAAATTGAAGACAGTATGGAAACGATAAGGCACATCATGGCACAACTACTCGATGGAATGTTTTATGGCCATTTCAGATGTTTCTATGAGCACAGAAAATGTTTATGCTATAATAGAAATTGCAAAAACAGTCAAGGTTCAAAACTGCGTTTGAAATAGAACTGCAGTTATGTAAAAGAAATTTAAGTACAGAAACTTGACCAGAACAAAAAAATAACATGCTCATCATGGTTAACTTTTTATGGAGCATCACCTGTGGCTACTTTCTCATTCTTTTTTAAAATTTTTGTCATCCATATTAAGAATTCTCAATTGTGGGAAAACATGTAATAAAATTTAAATCTAATGTTTGTGCGTATGTGTGTGTTTCTCTGTGTGTATGTCTATGTGTGTATATGTGTACATATGGACCCGTATGATCTCTTCTGTCCTGTGCACAGGTCCTTTGGAGTGCTGCTGTGGGAGATATTTTCTCTTGGATACATGCCATACCCCAGCAAAAGCAACCAGGAAGTTCTGGAGTTCGTCACCAGCGGAGGACGGATGGACCCCCCTAAGAATTGTCCTGGGCCTGTGTATGACTCTTTTAGGAACATTTCTACCAGTTGCTAAAGACAGTTTTTCTTTTCAAAAAATATTGCAGCCACACACACTTCTTTTGGTTTTAAGATGGAGGGGCAGATGGTTGACCTTCTTTAATATGCCCCAGATTAGGAGTATATCTGTGACTTCAATGAGGGGAGTTCGTCTTCCGGCCCCTCGAATGCAGTAATGTCATGCCTGAAAAGTTATCCTCTGTTGCGGTGGAGACTGTGGACTCACTCCTCAACACCCCCTGGGAGTCTGTGTCTGGGACTCTCTCCACCCCCTCCCCACTCCCATGCTGCCCTGCACCATCTGTCTTAAGTCTCCTTTGACTATTTCCATTCCCTGCATTTTCTGCTGCCCGGTCTGGCATCCCTCACCTCCTTCCCACAAGCAAGGCAGATGGGAAATAGAATATTCTTCCCCAGAGGTGACTTTAGCTCGAAAATGGAATGAGAGGAGCCATATTTCACGTCAATGCCAGGATGTCTGTTCATGAGCTCTGGTGTTCTAGCACCTTTACACCTGGGCACGATTCCTTGGCCCATCAGCAGAGGGCAGCAGAGGCCAACCACATGGGACCTAGATGAGGAGTCGCTCTCCAAGAGAGTGCCCCCTCTTGTCCCCCTTAGAGAAGTGCTGGGAAAATGTATTCACCCCTCTTTCTCCTGGCTTTAATGAGCATGTTTGCTCTTCTTTCAGATACCGGATAATGACCCAGTGCTGGCAACATCAGCCTGAAGATAGGCCCAACTTTGCCATAATTTTGGAGAGGATTGAATACTGCACCCAGGTATAAGCATTTTCCCCCTTGACCAGCATTTATATGGAAAAGATGGCAAACACCAAACTGCGAAATGAATGTTAAGCCAGCCAGAAAATATGAGTTATTAACAATCATGAGCATGATTGTCGATCTGTGAAGTAAGCTGAGTGGTGCCTCAGTTTTCCCATTTTGTATATCAGTGCTGGCTACTGCCTCTTCCTTCATGCGCCAACACATGACGCAGCTGCAGACCTCCCAATACTATTAGGGAGTCAGTTCACCTCCTGAGTAGCAACTAAATCCCTCCTGGGTAGCTAATGTTTTTTTAGGCAAAACCGGAGCATCAGAGAAGTATGGAAAACACGTGCTCTCAAATGTTCTCTACTGTGGCTAGAGAAATAATAATGTGAAACATTTCCCAGTATAGAATTGCTAAACTGGATGCCCAGTGACAAATATTAGAGGGATTCGAGGAAGGAACAAGGTAAGCTGGAGAAATTTGAACATCACAGATAGGATTCGTGCAGCATCTGTAACAGCAAATCATTTTTCCTCATTTTTATCCTCAGGTTCATAAAATATCCCCACTTTCCAGATGAGTCAAGGCTTGGAGAGGTTCTCCAAGCCACGTAGTTTCCTGGCAGTACCGCTGGTCCCTATGAGCATCCTTCTCCCATTTCCTTCAGAAAGGACTCTAAATTCTCTTTCTTACGCCATTTTGGCAGACCCTGCCTCCGGCCTCAAGAAAGGAGAGGCCAAGAATTCATTCCCCCCTGCCCCCGCCTGTCTGTGCATGGACCCTCGTTCTCACCCCCCCACACTTGTCAGTGGAGGGGGCGGGCCTCTCCCTCAGAGGAGCCCCTCAGCCTGCACCACCAGCTGCCCCTCAGGGACCCTCCCTCCCTCCGGCACTGTCTCCCCTCCACACCTCGGCTTCTTTCCCTCTCTGGGCTGTCACTGTGCCAGAGTCTGTGACTCTGGAGAGTATTTCAGAAGTCGGACAGGGAACCACTACCTCCCCATATCGCCTCATCTTGGTTGGGACAGAAGCTCAGAAGGGAGGGGACTGACCTTTATCTAGATGGACTTCGTCTGTCAAGTTCTGTGGCTCCTTCAGAAAACTTGCTATCCAGTGAACGGCATCTTAGGTGATTATACTGTAATATTAATGGACTAGACCCACTTAACTATATACACTTTGGAATAATTCTTCTCCCAGGCATATAACATCCCTCTTAAAAGCAGGCAGTTCTGTACAAGCATATTTTGAATGACTCCCCATAGAGAATGAATAATTAACAGGGAAGGAAGTAAAGAATAAGAGAACCAGAAAGTAGTGGTTTTTATTCTTATACTCTTTTTATTGATGACAACTGGACCAACGCACTCTTCTGCTACACCGAAGCAATGGTTTTCCCAATTTGCATAAAATATTAATGAATGAAATTCCCCCAAGCTTAAGTTTTCCTTCCACAGATTTTCTTCAGATCTCTGGCAAATGCTTCTGCTGTTCTGAGTTACCCTCCATTGCTATAAAAATGATCTAGCACAGACTTGGCTGCATAAGGGGCATTCCTCATAGCACGGCTGTTCCTTCTGGGCTTCAAAGGGTCTGGTCGGATGCAGACCCGATAAAGCACCGCTGTGCTCCCCGCACACAGAATGGCACGATGATGTAACACAGGGCGCGTGATCAAGTGTCGCCCATCCAAACACGATGAAGTGGGAGGTAGCTAGGAAGAGAAGAGGTAAACCTTGTGAACCAGCACAGCGTGTCTCCTCCCTGCCCCTCCCCCATCCCGCGTGTGCATACACACACACACACGTGAGGTCACAGGCTTTTCAGTGGAGGGGATGTGATTGGGAATAGACCGGAATAATTTTTTGGACGGATTTATAATTTTTCTAAATCCACGAATCTGTAGGATTTGCCCAAAGGCAGTCTCTGGAAAGCCACTCCCCTGTGCCCAGACACCTCTAGACAGGGCTTACCCTCCACACTCTTCAAGGATGAGGACGGCTCCCCATTCCTCTCCCATTCCCCAGTGTCTGTGAATTAATATATTCCCAGTGAACACCGGATGGTCTCCTCATCTGGAAAATAAGTCTGGATGAGACGCTCACTAAGGTATCCTCCAGACCCATCACTTTTAGTCTGTGATTCAGCATCTTAATCAGTTTGTTTCTCTCCCTTACAGGACCCAGATGTGATCAACACTGCTTTGCCCATAGAGTATGGGCCACTCGTGGAAGAGGAGGAGAAGGTGCCCATGAGGCCCCAAGACCCGGAGGACATTCCTCCTCTCCTCGTCTCTCCCCCACAAGCCAAACGGGAGGAAGGCCAGGACCCCGCTGGCCCGCCCCCCCGGCCTTCCACGTCCTCTGGCAAAGCCGTGAAGAAGCCCACGGCGGCCGAGCTCTCTGTCCGAGTCCCCAGAGGGCCAGCCGTGGAAGGAGGACACGTGAACATGGCATTCTCCCAGTCCAACCCGCCGTCAGAGCTGCACAAAGTCCAGGGTTCCAGAAACAAACCGACCAGCCTCTGGAACCCCACGTACGGCTCATGGTTTACGGAGAAACCCACCAAAAAGAACAATCCTCCCGCAAAGAAGGAGCACCAGGAGAGGGCACACCTGGGGCGTGAGGGAGGCTGTACTGTGCCACCGAACGTGGCAGCTGGCCGACTCCCGGGCACCTCTCTGCTCCTTGAGCCGTCCTCGCTGACGGCCAGTATGCAGGACGTGCCCCTGTTCCGGCTGCGTCACTTTCCGTGCGGGAATGTCAACTACGGCTACCAACAGCAGGGCTTGCCACTCGAGGCCACCGCTGCCCCCGGCGCCGCTCATTATGAGGACGCCCTCCTGAAAAGCCAGCCTGGGCCCTGAGTACCCCCCCACCGGCCCGGCCCCTCACTTCTCTTCCTTGGGAAGCCTGAGCCCCACGGAGGAGGGACAGGTCGTGGCTCCTCCAACACGAGAGACCAAACGTCCCTTTTCATTTCGTGCCAACTTGTTTTCAAGTGCCCCCTACACAGCTCTGTTTTCAAAACGCTTTAGAGAAAGGTTTGGAGCATGGGTTCATCTTATTCCTTCACAAAAGACGATAACATCACAGGGACAAGTGGTGACTGCAAGGGCCCCGGTTCGGTGGCAGGAGGTTTCCTGTGCATGGCTGACTCCCGTGTCCTCCTGCTCCCCTCAGATGGGGTGTGTTCTGTTCGGTGCCGTCCACGCTAGCTGCTCCTGCGTCTCCGAGTTGGAGTCACGGGTGTTTCCTGACCTTGCGGGTGTGGACCCGGACCACGCGAGGCAGGGAGGGAACAGACACCAAGGCGTTATTTACTTGTCAGGAGCTGGCAAGGGGAAAGACGCTCTTTACCAGGAAAGGAAAAATCAGACAACTAGCGGCAATGTCCCTTTAGGGGACGTCTGGATGCTTCCAAGTGTGCCGATTTCGCTGGTGATTGTAAATACGTGAGGACTAGTTATGGTACCATAGAGAAAACGCACTTATATCCATCAGAACGGAAAGCAGATATTCCATGGACTTTGAGGATGATAACAACACAGTCCATCGGGTTCCAGAGATTCAAACATCCTGTTGCTATACCTCATGCCTTAAGAAAACCCTCCTACGAAAGGGGCACAGAGTGCGAGGTTTCCCACTAGATTGAAAACTCGAGATTTGAGTTCTTAATTTAAAACTTCCCACTAATTAAAATCAACTCTGATCATTTAAAAGCAAAAATTGTAAGCAGCAGTGGCACATCAAAGCACAGACACATGTCCTTCCATGGGCCTCGGTGTCGATCCATCCCAGGCCCAAATCTTCCAACAGTTTCCATCACGAAGGTTAAGCACAGGGAGATTCCAGCTGCAGGGGCAGGCGGGTCACTGGACAGCCCTGGCCCTCGGTGGTTCTGCGAGGTGCAGTGTCCGCCCTTCCAGCGTGCCCCTACCTTCGTCCCCCTGTGGCACGTGATCCCAGCGTACATGGGAACACGGATTTGCTCACGTAAGGCCCAGCATCCTTGGTATAGCTACCAAATGCAGATGGGAACAGGACTCCCTGTCTGGGTGGCAAAGGAAGAGCGGGCACTGGAGAGCAGAGACGGACACTGACACACAATAGTGGGGGCTCCCAGCGTGGGTTTTCCCAGATGACACTGATTTCCATGAAAAAGAAATGGGAGTGGGTTAAGCTTTCCACACACATACTTGCACAATAAGGCTTTATCAGTGACCTCTCATTTCATGCTTGCTTTCTGCTTCTCCCCCATTCCTCTGCTCAGCTGCTTTCCTGGTGGTAGCTGTGCAGAAACATCGCACTGGGTGGAGATCATTTTCCGTGACTTGCTAGGCTCTAAGCATTCCCAGGCAAAACGACTGTATATAATATCCACCTTTCCCCCTGCCTCCTCACTCTCCCCTAGGTCACAAGCATCGTTGCAGATGTGGGAAAGCCATTCTGTTCCAGGCCAATACTGGACAAGCGTCCATTCTGTTGGAAGCAGATGCCTTGCCCTGGTCAGGGGTCCTGTACATCTGGAAAAGCACTCATACCCTGGACACCACTTTTCCTTTATCCTAACTGCCAAAAATATTCTCACCAAACCACCAATGATGCTGAAACGTCAACAAACTCGTCTCTAAATAACCATATCAGCGAAGTTTTGGCCCTTGCCAGGTGCAAAAGCAAATAATCTAATTATATAAACATCAATCTAATTCATAAACCACTAGCGGGCCCACAAACAATGCATCGAGAGACACTCTCCTAAAGGTCGATGACAGAGGAACTGACAAGAACTGAGAAGAACCATTTCATTTTATATCCGTAACACCAGTAACCAGTTAAACAGGGAGCATGCTACCCGGTGAAGTAGCCAACTCTTTATTGTCATTAATGGTGGGGGGGCGGGGATTGTATCCCTTCCTCTTCTTAAAAACTACAAATCCATTACATTTTCAGGTCGTGCCTTACTACCACTGAGTTTGATTTGCTGATTCTAATTGTCTTCATTGGTATCAATTTTCATGTAAATGATAGTCAAGTCTTCAAAGCCTGTGTACATGGATAAGTAAATAAACAACTCCACACTGAGATATCATGACCTCAAGATGTTTCATTTAATTCACTGGAAGCCCTAGGTATCACCAGGCCATTAACCTGGACTGTTGGCCACTCGGTCACACCCTACCCACATGACTATGGCAATTCGTGTAAATGCTGTGGATTCTCTGACTTATTAACGCTGAGAGAAGAGTCCTACCTAGAGCCCAAACAGGCACAATTAAAGTTTATAGAAGCCATGTTAATGAAACCATAAGCTAGAATAATGATTTATGGTCCATGTATATAAGGAAGCTCATCAAACGTGCACAGCCCTATCCCTGGGAAACTGACGATTTGTAAGGGAGTGACCAGTTTAATATGTGGCACCTCAAAATCACAGCACATTTCAAAAGAGCAGGAAAATAAGCTTAATTTTTCTTAAAGACTATGATCTACTCAGTGGTCAAAAGACTGGATTCTCTCCCACCAGTTAGGTTGGGAGTCCCGGCTCTCCTTGGGGTATCAGTCCTAGCTGTCCCCATGTCTCCATGTACAATGGGGAGAATGGCTTCCCGTCCTCACGGCCCCTCAGGCTGATTACAAACTGTGTCTAAACACAAGTACTCCCTCATACATCCCTTCAATTCCCAAGTGACTCAGGCTGGGCATGGAGGAGAATTTCAAAATTCAGAATGTGCCTAAGCGTCCCTGCCTCTCTACCACCAAAGCTCAGTGGGAGTTCTTGCACCCATACTTCTGGGCCTCTGGGTTCTCCCAGTGGCGCCATATTGAATTGCATCTGTCACTTGTGTAGTCACAGGAGCAAGAACCCTACTGGCCCCCAGTCCTTCTCAGCTCAAAAGAATGTAAAGACTCTACACACTTAGAACTGTTTGTTAAAAATAAACATCACAGAAAGGAAGGTATTTAATCAGCCTGAGTAATTAAAAAAAATTCTGGCATCTTCGTATAAGACGACAAACTTGGCAAACTCTCTAGCTATAACTTATTATATAACTACAGGTTAACCTTACTCCACTAAGAAATTCTAAATGATCAAGCTGGTTTAATAGATTTTCCTCCAATAATAGCAGGAATCCCATTCACATGAGCTTCAGAGACCTAAAATCAAGAAGCATATGAATTCAGACTACCCTTGATAACAGGCTCCCCATGACAAGACTCATAAAACCATATGAAGTGTGTTGTCAATCTGTCTTTAGCTAATGCCTTTTTAAATGGGTCCCCAAAGAACATACAATTTGACTTTCCTGAGTTCACTGCAGCAGATGGTTTCCCATGTTGGGCGAACATGCAAAACAAAACCCAACATTCCTGTAATCCTCCACAGGATGCCCTAAAATAAAAGAGAATTATTGAGAACAAACAGTAAGGCTTCTGCTAAGATTCTGTTTTCCTTTCGTATTCTGAGTAGGTGCATTTAATTTTTAATGAGCACCTCAAGTACAAAGCTTTTTTTAGCTCTCACTTAACTTGGAAACATTGGAAAAGCTCGGTGTAAGAACAGACTATTCCATGCAATGGTGGGGAGGAGGAACATGAACTAGAACCACAAATCTACAGCAATGACCTCCCCCTCTTCGGTATTCAGTTCACATTAATGGGTGTGCTACCCTTCCCTGTAAAGATGGCCCTACCAGGCCAACCTCGGAAGGCTCGGAAACACCAAAGTCCATGTGCATTGCTGGCCCCATGTCCACTTCACGGATGCCTCTGTTCCACACTCGCCAGCTCTCTCCCAACTCCAGCCATCCACCACGGCTCCTGCCTCCTTGGAAGCAATTACAATTATTTATCCTGCCATCGCTCACATGCGCGTTCGTAGGTACATGGCAGCTGGGCTGAATGAGGCTGAATGGCAGCCTTACTAAAGGAACTCCCTCGAAACCTCAGCAACTAGTGTATGGTAAAAGCCTCTAGAATATTTACGTTCTAAGAGATGTCATTTGCCGATAGAGATGATTATCAGACGGACGAAACTTTGACTGATCAGAAAACCGTGGATGGGTTAGCACTACTCGGCAGGCAGCTAGACTTCAAGAACCCACGCCCCAGTGACTGCAGCAAGTTCCGGGAAGCCTCTGCTTTCTTAATTCACAACACTGACCGTCTGGTCTCAAAGCCCCTTCCAGCTCTGAGGTCAGTGATTCTAGGAGACTTTACCTCTGCGTAAGGCAAATCCCGGCAGGTCTGGTGTGGGGCTGCATGTGTGTTCTTTTTTTTTTTTTTTTAAGATTTTATTTATTTATTTGGCAGAGAGCTCACAAGTAGGCAGAGAGGCAGGCAGAAAGAGAGGAGGAAGCAGGCTCCCCCCTGAGCAGAGAGCCCGATGCGGGGCTCGAACCCAGGACCCCGAGATCATGACCTGAGCCAAAGGCAGAGTCTTAACCCACTGAGCCACCCAGGCGCCCCTGCGTGTGTGTTCTTTTCCTTAATCTAGGCACCTGGACTCTTGACTCTCCGTGCATTTGGAGCCAAAGCAGATTAATTCAGTGCGCCAGCCCAGTGAGCCAAGTTATAGTCTTTATACAGAAAGAGACCAGAAAGAAGTTTAGTATCAGTTCTCCATTTATTCTATTCAAAGAGCTCTTTAACAAATCATAAAATTATTAACACAGCAAAAAAGTTAATGGGGTGGTTTCCCGAAAGCAGGAAAAGCTGCAGGACGAAGAGAATTGAATGACCTTCACGCCTTCGGTGCCATAACACTCATTTCTCTTTTTTATGTCTGCTACAATTGCAGACTTATTGGCAAAGTAGAACAGTAAAACTTATCTCTGGAAGGTTTTCCACGCCTGACATTTCACGACAGGTCAGATGCACTTCCTGTCCATCGTCAATGGGCAGTCTCCATTTCCAGTCTCCATTCCCAGAGCCAGATACAAAGCCCAGAATGAGTGACCAGTTTGAGACCAGGAGGTGTCTGCAGAGTCGGGCATCCCTCGACAGGTGTCACAGTGCCGTTATGATAAGGAATTCATTCATAACAGGATTCCTCTCCCCCAGCTACACAGGACTAGAGAGAAGCCCTCTTTTCAGGTTTACAGACACACTCACAGCAACTGGATGGCAATTTTTTGAACATGTTGTAAATAGCAGAGCTTTAGAGTGGGCCTAGAAATAGGGAATCCTCAAAGAGAGCTCATTCAGATATCCTGCCAAAGGATAAGATTGTGAAGACTTGCCGGCAAATTGTCTACATGTTAGCACTTCTAATACTTGAGAAAATTTTTTAAAATGTAAGTTCATTTGCATTATTCCAAATAAGATTTATGGAGTATTTCATAGATCCCAGAAGAAACAGAGTGATACTAAAGACAGATTCTTCTGGCACACGGTGTGCACCAGTGAGCAGCTAGTGAAGTTTCGTACAAAGCAGGAAACATGCAGGACATCACCCGAATTCTCCTCAGTCACACAACAGGCAGCGTGAAGTGAGGTGCCCTGGTACTTCCTGTG